TGGAAGTGGTGTTAGTGGGGCCAGTAGGGGGCGCTCACCCTGCAGCCTGTGTGGGTCCTAATGCCCCAGTATAGTGACGGGGACAATATACTGTAAAAAGGCGCTGTGCTTCAGATGAGACGTAAAACCAATGTCCTGACACTCTGTGGTCATTAAAAATCCCAGGGCGTTCATCAAAAAGAGTAGGGGTGTTACCCCAGTGTCCCGGCCAGATTTCCCATTGGCCTTTAACAGTCATGGCCTCTTAATAATCCCCATCTCTGAACGTGCTTCATCACTCTGTTCTCCTCGCCACTAATAGCTGGCGTGTGGTGAGCATACTAGTGCACTCTGCTACAAATAATAATGAGCAATTATTATTATTTGTAGCAGAAATGCATTTGTGCTGTATGCCTAAAATATTCTTAGCTATGTTTTATTTTAATAGCATCCCTGAGCTCTTTCATTTAACTTATTGTACTTCCATTGAACGTCTTGTACTCAAGAAGTTAGCACACAGTCCACAAGCCCGAAGATTTGTTCTAACTTGCTGCACTTTTGTTGAAATGTAGTTTCCATTTTAACAGCTGTCTGGTCTTTTAGTTGTTGTTTGTAATTTTGCAGGTGTGTCATTTGTTTTCAGATCATTTTAAGATCATTTATTTTATATGATATCATATGATCCCAGTCCTAGTCCCAGTTTGTGATTCATGCTTTTGCCTTGCCTCATAGTGGTTTCCTGGGTTTTACTGTGGTAAAAGTGTAGTATGTCTCAGTGCCATCATGACAAAAATAAGGTGATGTACAAAGAGATCATTTAAAGCAAATTTAAGATTTAAGGCATGTTCAAAACTACCTTGAAGGTTAACCTTGAAAAAAAAGTCATAAATATTTATAGGGAATTTATAAGGAATTACCTGCAAAGATCAATCATGGTTTTCACCAAAATAGACAAAACACAGAACTTTGTTCAAGTAGAAAAATCTGTGACAGAGACAAAATGAATAGCAATTGTTCATCTGAAAGCACATGGGACCTGTCTCCTGACTCCTCCTTTTCCTTCCCAGCACTGATAGGAAACTGTGGTTCCCTGGTCTCCTCTGTGTTGTAGAAATTTGCTCAAGACACTTTCCATGTTAAGCATAGTGCATCTTTGAGAGCTTGGTGTAGATAGGAACACAGATAGAAATGACTGGTTAACTCTGGACAATTTCAGTGATACAGGGGTAATATAGCATTATAATGTCTTGTGGTCTCTAGTGAAGTATTCTTATTATGGTTTATTTTTTCTATAAACATACTCACCCACATATACTGTATACTTTATTTTTCTGCATATTTAAATTTATGGATGTATCATAAAATGCTAGAGATTTCTGTTCTGGGAGGAAAAAAAAACACACCTTGGTCATTCAGACATGGTTACAAGCCAGCATCAAAAACATTTGAAAGCAGTTTGATAGAATTTAAGTTGTCTCAATTGTGGTGAATGAGTTTTTTGTGTATTCCTGAAGTGCTTTATTAATATGACTGTTAATTGACTCTGGCTGAGCTGAGAGTTTGATTGAAGCTGTCGGCGTTCTTACTAAGAAGGCTGTGCCTGTACAGTAAAAATGGGACCCACAGAGCTCTGTGCCAAGCTGCAGTTCCCTGGTGAACTGTTACCACTCACTGTGCCAACAGGAATCAATAAGCAAGCTGCGTGTCACTTAATTTGTAAAGGGGAATTATGGTAATTGGTTGAGAGCAAAATGAAATAAAAAAATTTAAACACTACAGGCAACTACAGAATTGTAATCCTATTTTTTTTTAAATATTGTTTATCACCCAGTAGACAATCTAGTCCAGCTGATCCAAAGGCCTGTTATCTGCCCTTCTGAATAGAGTTCGGTGGTGGGATTCTGTGTGTGTATGAATGTGTGTGTATGGTCATTATCACTTTATTAAAGCAGAAAGAGTGTCAATATTTTAACCATGGCCTTAAAATCTCTGGTCGGAGTCATTTGTCTTGAGTAATTGTGTTTGTGGCATGCTCCAGTTTTGCAGTCCGAAAATCGATGTGCACCTAAATCTCATTCTGGAGTTTGTGGCTGCAGTGAAAGAAAAAACAAGCCCAGTTCACCAGGGTTCAAAAATATACGCAAGCGCTGCCACAGTATCAAGATATTTTTGTCAGCTGTTGATGTTCTCTCTTAAGTGAGTAGACTGTTTCACATGCAGTATGGAAGAGCACGAAATGGTGATTGAGCTGAATTTTCCTGCAAGCTATTTTTGCCTTGAAATAGTAATTAGCTTCACTAGATGTTCTGTATACCTCAGATCGAGGGATCCTCTTGTCATTAATTTTGCAAACATGTTAAATTATATAAACTTACACAGTTAAGTTTGCTCTATTTTAAAATTCCAGTGACATTGGTTTTCATATTCTGTCTGTGACATTTGCAACACCAGCTGAAACTTAGTCTCTGTCCGTGTTTTGAGTAAAGCACACAAGAAATAATTGCATGTAACTGATGTTACCCATTAAAGGCAGTATTCTTTTTCCTATTATTTTTTTTTTTTTTAACTGTGGCTTTAAAAAGCTTTGAAGGTCTAGTCCAGTAGTGCTTTTACTGGAATGTAGGCAAGTGCAGTCACTAACATACCCAGTTAAATAGATCATTTTCCAGGTAATCTCCTTTTTTCTTGGAGCTTTAAAGACTAAATGTATGACCACATCAATGAACACATTGAACTCGATGGCAAGATTGCTTAAGTGATAAACTACTCCTGAACTGAAAATGTTAGCAATATTTTCTGTTTGACTGTGAGACATGGCTGTTCGTTGCTGAGTGAGCTCCAGTGATTACCTTGGTTACATTTTAGTCTGTTGACTATCATTTCTGAGTCTCGGTGAAGGCTTGTGTGGCAGAAACAGCTGGCACCTCCTGCAGACAGTCACCGCCCTGGTCTCCAATGTGTGGGTCTCAGCAGAGTGGAGCTGTCTGCTCCTGGCCTTCCTTTCAAACCAGGAGATCATTTTTCTCCTCACCCTATGCCATGATCTTTGTACTTTGGATCTCTTGGGAGAACTCCATCTGCTGGTGCTGAATTATCATTCACTTTGCACATTAATTATGTTATCAGAAGAAAGCAATTCAGTATTTCCTGTTAAACGAATATATGATGTTATTTACAGTCTTGACATATGGATGGAAAACTCCATTCTAAATGTACCCAGCTATGCTAATGATATCCTGGGCTATTTCAAAGGAGTTGTTTTTCATCACATGACAGCTCTTGGTTGTTAAACATGACTGTGATGGTATATCTTACAAAAACATAGTTATACAGTATATATGATCATAGATTCTCCAAAACACTTTTAAATTTTGTTACACAAAATGCTTTGTTAATCTTAAAAGATGTGCTCTCACTCATTTAGCAGTATTAAATATTGATATTTACTCATACTTACTAGTTAATCTTAAATATAAAGAATTCAGAATTCAGGTCAGGTGCTAACTGCAGATTTAGAAAAGAAAGTTATCCCCATATAAATATTTTTATTTCAGCTGTATACAGGGTTTAGACTCCAGGTTGGTCAGCCTTACAGACGGAAAAGAGATTTGTGCTGCTAAATTGTACATCAGGTTTCGATGTATTAAAAATAAATAAAAAAAGATTAGGTTACCTTGTAGCGGTCTATCAATCCGTATCTTAATGGAATCTGAAAATAAATCTGCAAAGGGGAAACATTAAACTTCATATGTCCTGTGGCAAAAGACACCTCATGGAGACAATTTGGACCTATTCATTTCCTAAGCTCTTAAAATAAAGGATTGAAAGCAAGCAATTGAATTAGTGTCTGCCTCCAGGAATCACCACAGGTCAGGGTCAAGACAGGCTTTTAGTTCCTTTTCCCACTAGGCATTCAGCACGGCACATTACAGCTGGGTTCTTTATTTATTCTGAATTGGATAAAGCGGCGGCGTTAATCCAAATATTTCTCTGCCAAAAATCTAAAAATCAAAATTAATGTTTTGTATTTCTACAATTATTTGTTTTTAAGCTCCAGTGAGGAAAAAATACAGATGAATAACAACCAGTTGTTTCTAAATGTTGCTTTTACCTCTGCGTCTGTGGAACGTGACTAATGCATTGATTTTAGAGGTGAGGTGCTGAAACAGTCGATTTCAACCATGTGACCAGAAGCAGGAAAGAAGAGGTTAAAGGTCATTTGGAGAAAAGGCATGAATTTAGCCTTGGCCTTTTGTGAAGTGTATTACAAGACCACATTTCCATATAATTAACTGTCATATTGATGTGTTCAAATGTAGCCCTTATTGTTTGGAAGCAGGGTGCTGTTTTTTAATTCTTCTTAATTCAGAAACACAAAAGACATTACGATATTTTATGCAGCATTTTAAAATCAATTTAATAGATTTATGACTACATTATGAGGCTAATGCTAATTTTTACTCTTTTCAGATCTTATTTCATCACCGAGTGACTCAAATTCATGAAAAGCTTCATCGACTATGAAAATAACCTGAAAAGAAATTTCAGCATAATGTTCTGCTGTAAACCAATAACTAGAGCCTTCAGAGATGGCTAGGAGTTCAGGCTAATTTTTCAACTAGTCCTGTGTAAAATCTATTTTCAGCCTCATACTAGTCATACTTGGACTGGTCAATGACTAGTTGCAGCATCTCAAACACCCTGGAATGATGAGTCAGAAACATAGAGAACTTTGCCTTATTCAAATCTAGCTTTCTTTCCACCCTGACACACCTGTGATATGATGATCAGATCTCTGCTGTGAACATCTACTTTAGGTCGAGAAGAAGGCGCCAGGCCTTGCTCACCAGGCTCTGACTAGTTGATATCTTGTTTGTTCCTTTGCTTGCGCTCAAACCTGAAAAGTAGAATGCTTTACATCTGTTTGTTTGTTTGTTTGTTTGTTTGTTTGTTTTTCGTAATTAGATAAAGGGCTCTGTGTCTTTATTCCACACCTTATGATAGCTTTCCCTTTCTTTCAGGCCCAAAAGAATGAGAGAGAATCCATTCGGCAGAAGCTGGCGCTGGGCAGCTTTTTTGACGATGGCCCTGGCATTTATACCAGCTGCAGCAAGAGTGGGAAGCCAAGTCTGTCGGCACGGTAAGAGCAGAGCACACGGCGTCTCGGTGTGGGCCCAAAAACAGACGGACATCCGTGGGGCTACACGGGCGGTATTGATTTGCCATGGAAATTAAAGCTAATGTGTTGCCAGGCAATTGTTTTAGGAGGGTAAGCGAAATAAAAAAAAATATTCCAAAATGTTTCCACAGCTGAGGAATTCTGTTAAAAATCCAGCTGCCCTTAGTTCGGTTTGTTAGTTCCTAAAACATACAGTAGATGTCACTACAAGTTAAAACAGTTTCTGTTGTTGCCCGTCAGAAGGCTTTTTTTTTAATTCTGCTTTCAAGAAGTAAGGGAATTATTTTCTAAGCTTACGTCTTCAGGTAGTGTATTTCATCTGATTAGATTGTATAACCTAAAACAGTCATTTAAAGCAGGGACAAACTTAAGACTTTATTAACCTTTATTATGATAATTGACAATGATTTATAAATTGTATTATGTGTAAGACATTTAAACTAATTACGTATTGGAAAAGGACTTCGAATTTGATTAAACATTAATAAGGTCTCTGTCATGTAGCACAAAATCATGTGGGAGAACCATAACATTTTTAAAAACTATAATAATAAATTCACTAATAATAAATCTACTTTAACAGTCAAATTGTAATTCTTTTGTTTTTAGGTAAATGTGATATTTTATTAAATTTATGAAAGTGTGCGTCAGTCAATACCAGAAAGAATGATGTGTTTATTTTAGTCTTAATATATGTATCAATAGACATAGTACATAGAAAATATATTTTAGTTAATTATAATATTATTGCTTTATCCTGTAATCTTTTAAAATGCGGTAATGCTACAAAAACATTTAGAATATGGGGACCTTTTTGCTGAAACAGATGTGTCACCCAAGAAATGTGAACAGAATGGTACTTTCTGGTTAAATGACCACGGTAATAGGTGGTATAAATCATTAGAATGGCTTTTGCTCTCCTGTATTTCAGTCTTTTCTAAGGATAATGTTATTGTATCAGTAATTGCCACAATTTTTAACACTTTGTGGGTATTTTATCTTTATTTAGTGATATCTAGATTTTTTAGATTATATTCTACACAACTATTACCATAGAAATGTTAAATTTAATGACTTGCCCATAGAACTTGTTGTGCTTAAGGTTCAGAATGACAAGCATTATTGAATTTACCCTGGTTATGTACTAACATCTTTCCACAAACATTTGAATAATAAAGCAGCTATAAAAGGGTATTTTAGCTTATGAAGAACAAATACAGTATTTGAATATTTATGTATGCCAAACATGATAAATTTGCAATTATGTTTTGTTAGGCACAAAAGCTTACATCTAAGCTATGGTTTGTCATTTCCTGTAAATCATTAAACTGCTTCTTCGGAAATTTAGAAATAAGACAAAAATATACCTGAAATAGGGGGCTTTTCTTTTCTAGTTTTATGGTTGTGTTAATTTTCAAGCTCGTGTGGTAGTTCATCTTGGAAAGGGCCCTCTGCCTTAATAATATAAAAAAATCCAGTTATTCAGTTTAGTCTTACTACAAGAAAGTCTAGCAATTACAGTAAGAGAGACAATTGGATGGATTGTATCACTGTCATGCACAGGGGTCTCCCTGTTAGTTTCTCCCGATGAGGAAGAAACTTTTGGAGACAGGACTCTGCTTCGGAGAAACAGGGAGATTACTTTAAACTGAGAACAACACACCATGCTTTTTAGGGAAGTTCTCCATGTTAATTCCACATCGCAAGCAGGCTAAATAGTTTCTGTCCTACATGAAGTATCTTCATTTGAAGCAATTTCATTCTGCAGAATAATGTGAACCTTAACAATTTTAAATTAAATGTAGAAGAGAAAGAAATTTTGATACAAGATCTGGAGTAGCTGTGAATTTTTCCTCTTTCATTTGGAAAAATTCTGAAATTGGATCTAGATCTTTTTACTCTTTTTTTGAGTGTGTTGTTTCTTGCTGTGGGTTCAATGGTACCATTGTTTTATAGTAATGGGTGCTAAAAAAAATGAAACCTTCAGAATTCCTTCAGAATAGAAATAATGTATCAGTTATTTTAAAGTAATGTGTAAGGAAATTTGTGGAAGTCGACCCTTGAAAATCAAATATTTTTTAAACCCTCCAGTTTCAGTAATTGCTTGCACTGCATGTGCTGTAAATTACAGGTTAATTATACTGGCCTAGAGACTAACCCAGAAAGGCAAGATACACTCTGGACAGGAAATCATTCCATCACAAGTTACACACACATGAGACAATATAGTGACAATGATTACTAAATTGACTCATTTAACCTAGACAGCAGGTCTTTGGATTGTGGGAAAATACCAGAGGTCTTGGGAAAAACCTATGCAGCCATGAGGTACATGTAAACACCACACAGAAGGCAACCCAGGCCAGATCTGGACCCAGGACCCAGGAACTGCAAGACAGCGACACAAACCGACATGCTGCCCCATTCTTGTTTTTTATGATAAAATTGGTGTTATATTATGTTTTTGATTGACTCCCATATATAAGCCAAATCCGACCCCTGCTCTTAACTTTACCTTGAGCTAATTCTGCTACCAAAAGCTTTTACAATGGTCTGCACTAATAAAAGGCAAAATCAATTATGAGATCAAAAGCCTCCTGTTCTGAGACCTATAGTTCTTTCAGTCTGTAATTCAATTCAGTGTTTAATACATTAATCTGTTTTAACAGCCAGGGCTTTTTTGTTGTTGGGGTTTTTTTTTGTAAAAAATGTACACCCGTACATAAGAATGGAAGAATGGAACACGCTGTCAGTACCCTGGCTTCGTCAAGAAACAGCTGGATGAGATTTTTGCGTCAGTTGGCTACTAACTACCAAACCGCCCAGATGGGCCGAATGTCCTCCGCTGCTTCATAACCTTCCTGATGCTTTATAAAAATGATAGGACCTAAGCCTTCTTATCTGTACAAACCCCTCCCCCCCAACCCCACTTAATGCAGCTGAGCTTTTCCTGATGGATTACAGCTCACGGAAATTTGAGTTCAGTCCAGGATGCAGTGATGAATTGACGGGAGCCATCCCCAGCTGGTTTTTCTCCCTAACCAGCAGTAGGGCAAAAAAACCCATCAGACCGCTGGCCATGGCCATCAGCCTCAGAATAGCCCACTCCTAATTACAGGCCCTAACGTGCAGACTGCCTGGAGGAGCGTCTGTACCAGCTGAGTCTCTGGCTGTCATATATAATGCTGTGTTGATCCCATGGGTGAGAACTGCAGATTAATTACTGACTTAATTTTCTCTGCCATGACAACACAGCACCCGTTAATCCATTGTCTAACCTTACGATTGCATCTTCCAGGAAAGAAAGAAAGCATCTCCCGGTGACTTGTGCAAAGATCACAGGAAGAACAATTGCCTTGTTTCTTTGGCTAAATTATTTCTCAGTTCCTGTTCACATTTACCTTCCTAGGCTGAAGGTGGATCAAGAGCACTGAATTAGAATGTATGCCAATAAACCAGACTTGTATTTGCCTCAGTTTGGCACCAAAACGAATGAGATCAATCACTTTGTCTTTCTTGATGAAGCCATATGGAGCAGATTGTAGGAGGTTAAATAAATCATGGTAAAAAAATACATAATGTTTCAATAGTGGTAAGATCACCTTTTTACAGTGGTAGGCTTAACATTACTTCAAAGAAAATCTGGGCTGTGGTCTTGGCCGTGCATGGTGAAAGCAGCAGGACATGTAAGCACCAAGGTGTTGTGGAGCTGATGATGTAGAAATAATAGCTGCTGATGAGTTAACCACTTATTCCGAAGTTATTTCAAAGCTTTTTAAAATAAAATTAATAATAAATAGAGTCGAATTATTGATTTTTATCAATCACTGTGTTACATAGCAGTTCCCCCACCTTAATCTGAAGGTTACCTTGTGTCTGTTGGTTTTCATTCCAAATGAGTTGTATTTGTTCATCGCTGGTACTTGTTGATGCCTTTAATTGATCAACCTGCTTGTTTCCACTTTTTTTTGTCTCTGCCCTCAGTCCTTATTGAAAAACGATGCACCCAGTCTCTGTTCTAATTATTTCCATAATGGAATTTGATCCTTAATAGATGACCAATCCAGGATTTCCAAGTAGGAATGAGAATGTCTCAAATGTCCCTCAATGAGCTCTTTGTTTTCTTTCTGCTAAGGTCCAGTTGCAAGACTGATGCCTTTTTTAAATCCTGTGTTGTTCTGAGAGACGGGCAAAATCAAATTTAAAAACTCACCTCAAATGCATCGATTCATATCAATAAGCCCGTCATGAAAAACTGAGCAGAAAAATAACAGAAGACATGGAAGTATTGTTAGGATAAGGGTTAAGAAGGATTACTCTTTAGGAAGTTGTGCTGCTCCTTCACATGTTTATTGATTACTAAGTTTCAGGAGTCACTGCATGTGTTTTTTCTTATTACTAAAGTGTTTGCTGACTGACTCTACAAAAAGGGGGATCAATGTGATTATGCTGACTTTAATTAATCTGATTAATTTGACAGCCTTCAGAGTGGGATGAACCTGCAGATCTGCTTTGTGAACGACAGCGGCAGTGACAAAGACAGTGATGCAGATGACAGCAAGACTGAAACAAGCCTGGACACCCCGCTGTCCCCAATGGTACACCTCAAACTGAAAAAAAAATTGTTGTAATGATGAAAAAGTGTATATTTACCTACTTACTCCTTAGTCTCTCATCATTTTGAAACTGAAATTGCTTGGTGTGGACAATTACAGTGCTCAATATGGTCAGATACTCTGAGAATTAAACAAGAACTTTATATCATGCTTTATCAGGTATTTCTGGTGTGAGGAGAGATAACTTTCCACTTCTTATCAGAATTTTTGAAGGAAACAAAAACACAGCACCAGCTAACTTGAATGAGCCCAGATATTATTCTTAATAAACCAGATTGAGCTAAACGGAACTAAAAATCTACTTATCTTCAAGGAAATTGGATCTAATGAGAGCTTAAAAATAGTTTTATTCTTTAAAATTCGGCCTTTAGGCCACTCATACAGCAGGAGGGAAGAGTGCTTATGTAGTACCTTATGTGTTTTACCATTATCAATAATCCTGGAAAGGAATTGTGGGTATAACTGGCCCTGATGCTATTAGTGAATAATATAGGGGGAGATACTTTAGTCAGACTCTTCCTGTGACCAACATTTTATATTCCTGATTCTGAAACTCACATTTGTGTTTGTGGACCCTCACAAGGTACAGTATGTGACACTTTACATCACATCACAAAAACAAGACTTCAAAGGCAAACTCCACTAAGCCACCTTAACAGGAAACCGCAGAAAAGAACATGTACGAACATGTACGACCATTTACCCCTGATTTGCAAAGCTAGTACAATCGTCTGATTTGAGTGTGGAACTGCCCCTGGTGTGCAAGCAACAAAGAACCAAGTGGGGTTTCATTCCACGCTGAAAAGTAGAAAGAAGAAAAAACAACAGTGCAGGTGTGAATCTTTCTCACATGCCTGTGTCACTCACCTGAAGCAGACTTCTCAGCCGAAATGTCATTTTGTTTCTTTTCAGCATGGAATTAACCTCTACTTCAAATAAATAACATTCTTACTCAGTTTTGAAAGTGGGGGCAGCATGACATAGTGGATAAGTCTCTGGAATCATGTGTGGGTTCGAGACACGCCTGCAGACAGAGTGAGGGAGTTTACCCCAGCTGCTCCAGTCCACCCAGCTGTCTGAATGGGGACCAACATTTTTTGGGGGGTAAGCTCCATCCAGGGAGTCACGTGCTCTCTGTTCGCTTGATGCCAAGAGAACCAGAATAAGCTCTGGCCCCATGAACCGTTGTGGCTTGAATCTGGAAAATACCTGCCTCTTTCAAAAATGCTCTTCAAGCATGTTGTTCAATCAACTTCAGTATACACAATTTTATGTAATCTCTCCTCAGGCAATACCAGACTGGGAGATATGAATAATGAGTTTTGAAATTCAATGGTTTATTGAACCGACTCTATTTTCTCCTTCCCAAGAATTATGGAACCAATTTAAAGACTGACAGAGGTTTGCTATTAACTAAGCGATGGTGTACCACGATATTTGTCATCCCTGTTCTGAAACTGTCCATCCAAGCAAAGAATTCAGGCCAACCATTCATCACTGGGCCGTGGGAGGGCCAAGAAAGGCGTTTCGGGCTCCGTCTTTGACATGAGACTAGCGTAGTGAAGAAAGTTGTGATTGTTTTGCAGAGCAAGCAGAGCTCCTCCTACTCGGACCGGGACACCACCGAAGAGGACTCGGAGTCCCTGGAGGACATGGACTTCCTCAGCAGGCAGAAGAAACTCCAGGCTGAGGCCAAGATGGCTTTAGCAATGGCTAAGCCCATGGCCAAGATGCAGGTGGAGGTGGAAAAACAAAATAGAAAGAAGTCCCCGGTGGCTGACCTGGTGAGTGCAGTCCGTTTGGTGTGGTCTCATAAACATCCCTGTTCTGTTCACCTGAGGTCACGTCACTGTGGTAGCACATCAGTGTTGGCCCATCGTGTATTTGAACTTTGAAGACTGTACATAACATTACATAACCCTGTGATGGACTTTCAGTCTTTACTGGTTGACTGCACACAAAAACAATTTGCTAGTACGTTTTTTTTTCAGGCAAAAGAAGAAAACCTTAATCTTTTCCCTATCTTTGTTACTGACAATATAACATATAACATTAAATATCTTTAAAAAATGGAACTATGTGGGAGGCAAGATAGCTATCTGCCTGCATAAAGAGCTTTGAGCAAAGATGGAAACTAACTAAAAGATGGAAAGTTCATTTCACAAACGCCTTGTGTGCCAGTTATTCATGTTTGATATATAGGCAGTCCTATAGCTTTACAAATCTAAATGCTTCCTAAAAATGGTTTTCTTGTCAGACCAATCTTTTTTGATAAATGCTGTGTTTTCTGTTCCTGTACCTGTTTTTCCCTAATGTGACATAGCGTGGTAATACTTGACCATCTTGAAATTCCTGTCGTGCACATGAGTGGGTCTTTGATGATACAACACAACTTAGAAGCGTAGCAGCCGACCACAGTATTGCATTAAAATAAACATTTAAGCTGTGTGGTTCCTGTGCCCGCTTGTGTGTGTTTTTTAAAATGCAGTTATCCACATCAGTGCTCAGGAACATGTCTCACCAACTCCATTTTCACCTGGTAAAGTCTTTACTTATTCAGGATGGAGTAATATATAATTTAGGTCCTGCAATGCCTTTGCCAATTCTTTTCAAATGCAGCTGTGCCCAGCTGTCAAAAATAATGAAGTTCATATGCGCACTTTAAGGAGACTGACCTTTTTTAGCATTCAAGATTATATAATTCCAACATTGTGGTTTTTATAGCAAAGCAAACAAATAGGGATAAGGAACAGTTGAATCTCATGAAAACGTCAAGTCCTCAGATAGCTACGCCTCAAGTCTTTTACATAAAGAAGGAGTTATTATTTCCAAGGTGTTCTGGAAGTTAGGGTATGCTATATAAATAAATTAATGCTGCTGTTTTCTGAAATAATATTACCCTCTCTCGTCCTTGTATTTTCCTACTGTTTTTCAATGACATGATCATGACACAACATCATCATGACATGATTTTTTTCACCCTTCAAACTTGATCGAGTCTGTCGCTTCAAGTACTATGAATTTTCGTATTGTGTTAGGTATGAAATTCCTAGTACAGAAGACATTCGAAGAAATGTGTGGGGAGCAAACCTCCGAGTTTTAGTTCACAAAACCGTGTGGCTTTCCAATAAATTTCAGGCTTTAATATAAAGGAAGATTTCCAAACTCTGGTCATAGCTGCATCCCCATTTCCCCGAAAAAAGGAAAAGAAACTAACAGAAGAGAGTTTAGTGACTCTGAGGCCCAGGTTTCTGAAACTAAGCCACGTTTGTGCTTACCTGAAGAAACTTTGAATGACTAACAATGAGACCAGAAAAGCCCACAAAGTGCGATACTCCTTTCGCCTGAACGTGACAACAATTACACAGTGTAAGGTTGCCTGTTAGTCTTCACAGGCTTATGAAACAGAAACTGTATGTCAGATGACATCAGAAGATGAAAGTGGAAGTTGCGCGGTCGACTTCAGTCTAAATTTACGGCATGTTTGCCTTAACATGTTGATTGAAGGTGCAAAATTTTTTTTTTAAATGGTTAGAACAATAACAGGAAATCACAGACCTAGGAAAGGATGCCACGGTAACTTGGCACAACATTCGGGCACAGACTAGGACAGTGGCAGGAAGAGGACCTGGGCAGTAACCCGGCAACATCAGGGGAATTCTTTTAAAGTCTTAAAAATACCAAGAAGTCAGTTCAATTGGATGATGACAAATAGAAATTCTCACAATGATATCAAATGAGCAGAAATAGATCTAAAGACTGCAGAGCTGGAAAAGGCACTTTTTGTTCTTGGAGTTTGTGGATGAGAAAGGCCCAGAGAAACTAATGATGTGAATATGTTTTATTTTTCAAGCTATGTTTCTGAAATATGTATTGTATATTACTTTCTGCATTTACCCTGTTACATATATATGCATGCATTTTTAAATGTATTTCATATTGATCGTTCCTGAGACACAAATAGTACTGTACCTTTTCTCAGCAAATCACCAGTAAATATACAAGTGAAATGTTTGTTGTCTCCCTAAAGTGAGATACAAGGTATTATTAAGTCAAAGCACAGTGGTGGTGCCTGACATTATCTGGAAAAAAACAAAAATACTATGTATGGTATAGATATTTATAATAGCCTGTGCTGTAGCTTGAATTTCTAGAAATCTCGTATCTAAATATCTACTCTAATGCAATACGACACTGAAGAAATGTAAAGTGAATTAATTCAGGATTTTTCTGTAAGTATTCAGTGTACATGAATACACATAATACCAGTGTATTATTCCCCTCTTTTTTTTTGCTTCATGTTGTAGAATGTTGTTGTTTTTGCTGTAGAATATCATGAAGATTGCTTTATGTAGGTACAGTATTGTACTGTATGTCTGCCACCTACTGGTGAGACACTGTGGTGCTGGTCTTTTATCCATTCGACATTATCAGGAGTGAAATACAGGTAGTGATCTGGGTTTAACATATTCAAGTAGGTAGTGCGCCAACATGATTTGTCAGGTTCGTTAGCACGTCTTATCATTAGATGAATAAAGACGTCTTCAGGTATATATTTGTTTCTGTAAGTTTTGATCCTTTACTTTGACTGCAGTATTTACTTAGATTCATCAGCTCAACTTCACACCTAGACATATCTGTGCAAAGACCAATGACCACAGACCAGAAGTCATAACCCAGGAGCTCGTTGAAATGGCACGTTGAAATGGACCTGGCAGACACTGCAAAAGAATATGGAGCTACAGCTCTGTATGCATTTGTACCTTGCTGCATGAAAGGAAAAAAAAAACATGTAAAGGTATCTAAGGATGTGATGCTTCATTGTAGAATTGTCTTTGTCTCCCGGTTGGATGAAATGTTTTGGATTCCTCTTTTCCAGCTGCCTCACATGCCGCACATCAGCGAATGCCTCATGAAGCGGAGTTTAAAGCCCACAGACCTGAGAGATATGACACTGGGTCAGTTACAAGTTATAGTCAATGACCTCCACTCCCAGATTGAAAGTAAGTACACTGCAGGTACAACATTATCTGACGAATCCCTGAGTACAGTTGGGAAGGTCAGTTAGTACAGGAAACAGTGGCATTATGTTGCGTATAAAGACATTTTAAAAGATTGAAGTAAGTGGAGTTAGTGGAGTCGCTAAGGTTGGTGTTTATTATCTCTGTAGTTCTGTCAAACCCTGTTTAAGCCAGCTTTATGCCTGTTTAAGCGAAATGGGCAAACAAGAATGCATGATGTGTGATATTTATATATTGGTCAGTGAAAGTGGGCCAGGTTAAGTTTTGACCTTCTCCCGAACGTGCATTTGAAACTCTGTACGTCTCACTAAAGGAACATACATTGAGAAAATAATTTATTCCAACCTGCTATCTAGCATAATTTCCTCCTTCCGTCCCTCCAGCAGTAAAAAAGCCAATGTTCTTTGTAACACTTAGTAATTTGCAAGGCAGCCTTGGCTCAATATCCTTGATATTTAAGCTAGACTGCCAACATACTGTATCTATGTATGTGTTTAATTACTGTAGTTCACTCCACAAAAGTCATCTCGTGCCTTTCTTTTTTCAGTTTCTGGAAAACAAAAAGTGAAATCCAGCATATGGCTGGGTATCTTTTTTTATGTCGAGCTCTCTAACTCACTCAGTTACCCCTCTTCATGTGCTTTATCTGGAAGACCAGGTGCATTACTCCACAAAAAGACGCAGGTGCACAGAAATCGTATAGCTGCCACATTTATAATTTAAAAACAGTGGTACTTACCAGTGATGTGTGTCTACTGACAAGAGGCCTTGATAGCATCAGTTTGAAGACAAGCTCTATGTTGACATCTCCATCGATAGAAGAACGGGGGTTGTGGGGGGTGGGATATCAAAGTAAATTGCAAGTCAGAATATTCCATTTCTGGGTGATGTATTTTTTGAAGAGCTGGCATGTGTCTGACGGAGAACAGACAGTGAAACAGAGGAGCAGTTGACAGGATGTCAGACAGCACACTCCAAGCCGAGCCGCTGTAGTCACACAGACTGAGGTCACTCCTGTCTTCTGAGAGCCTGAAGCTCTTCTCGATCTGCATGATGCATTTCACTAAATTGTTGTCAAGGATCAGCAGGGTACCACAAGCTATCTAACAATGACAAAGATCTTCTGTCGTATTTTGTAAATTACCATGTAATTTATTTAGCTAAGATCAGTATTCATGATACAGTGGCTGTTTCCCCTGTTAAATTATACAGAACAGTGGACTATTTTAATGCAATCATCATTTGTAGAACAATGTAACTGACACAAGTTCACCACTGTACTTACTAAGCAAACTTTAATGACTTCTGCCAATGACATGAAACGTGAAGAACATTTATCCCTATTCTTAACTAACCACATTATCTTTGGATTGTGGGAGAAACCAGAGCAGACAGTGAAAACCCACATGAACACGGGGAGAACATAACAAATTTCACACAGATAGCACCCCGGGCCTGGAATTGAAACCATAACAGCAAACTTATGTAATTCAGGGAAAATGTTTTACTTCTGATCACAAACAGAAGAAACTGGGTTGTACTCTTAAGGAAAAAAAACATATCTCATTTCTAGAGAAGTGAAAATTTCATATTAAATATAGGATGAGTTATTGACTAATACTCCGTCTAAATTGATTTGTTAAGATTATTAGTGCACTGGAAACAACTATCAGACGTGGCAGGCAAGGCATTCTGAAAAACGACTGTGGCTCATTAATACCAATACGTAATTGACAGATATGAGTTGCTATTCTTCCAAAGAACTCTGTATTATTGAAGTTATTGAGTTTTATCAGTTGTTCTCCTTCCTTTCTCCTGTAAACACAGACTTCAAAGACCCAATTAAGATCAGTCAAAACTGGGGGGATTGTTTTTAATGTTAGTTTACATTGACTATATTAGCAGAAAAATATGACATGAAATGTTTTTTTTTATTGGGCTTTTATTTAATGAATACCTACAGTGTATATTGTACCTATAATCCAGCCTTTTCGAATGTAATGACCTTCCCTTCCTTCTGTCACTGCAGGTTTGAATGAAGAACTTGTGCAGCTTCTTCTAATAAGGGACGAGTTACATATGGAGCAGGACGCCATGCTGGTAGACATTGAAGACTTGACTAGGTACAGCCAGACTGCCCAGAACACTGATTCCTTTGCTTCTTAGGACATGTTGCAGTCCACTTTACTTTTAACAGAGCAGAAATAATATTTCTGAATTGTTGCTTGTGTTCTGTTGAAATAAATACTTGGAAAGCAGGTGGTAGTAACAGTTATTTAATCCCTGTTTTGTGTTTCACTGAATGCTTCATCATCCTAGTAACTCTGTTCAAGGACATTTCGTACAGAACCTGCATTTCCTCAGAAGCTAGGAGCATGATCTGGTTAAATGTGGTCCTAAAACATCATGTTAAACCTGTTTATGTAGTATTTACAAAAATGGTTAAGAAAATTATTTCTACCACATTCCTCTTACACTTTTAACCTGCAAGAAGTTGAGTTTGTCAGTATTAGTACCTACTGTATAAATGGCAACATTAAAAAAAAAATCACAAAGTGCTTTGTTAAAAAAAATAAGACAATTAAAAATGTAATTGCTTCACTGTACTACCAATTCTTTCTCCTGAAGGGAAGGAATTGTTAAAGTTTGGGATATTAAAACCTGACTGAAAGATGCATTTGTTTTTATTTTGTTGTCACAGGCACGCTGAAAGTCAGCAAAAGCACATGGCAGAGAAAACCCCAAAGTAAAAACTACCACCGAGACAAGGAAGAACAAGGCTAGATTTTATTTTGCTTCTGTGGTTGTACAAGTTCTGGAGATGGAGCACTTCCTGAGGGTTTTAAACAAAAAGTCAGTGTTAGTCATCAATACCGTCCGAAGCTTTCTGTCCAGTGATTGGCCTTGCTTCTTCATAACTTCTTTTTAACTTTTTACATTTGCCACTAAATAATAATGGTCATTTTAATAAGAGAAATATATATATATTAAATTGGTGGAAACTATACGATAATAGTGAGATAGTAAATAAAAGCATTGTAAAAAAATAAATTAACTTCTGGATTTAAGGTTGGACAGTATTTTACAGGTGGCCTCTTTATATTCTGCACAAATGGTAGTTTTCAACTGAGAAACTTTTATTTGAAGGTGCTAAATGAGTCAAAAGGATACATGCCTGCCTTGTAGTAAAGTTGTAGCTTTTGGTAATCTGTTCACTTTACTCAGTTCTCAACATTTTGTGAATGTTGATTTTCTGACACGAGTCATTTTCAATAAGTGTGTTAATATCATTTCATCCAATTGTATTCCGAATATTATTTGGGGGAATTTTGTGTACAGATATGTAAAATAAAAAATAAAACCTTGTTTCATATTCCATGCCTTGGGCTTTCTTCTTTCGGTAAAAAGAGTGATTATGTTCCAGTAATCTCCTTCAGATAATTTTTCAAAAACATTTGTTTAATGCATGAGGGGTGCAGTCTCCCTTTCAGATGTTGTTGTGCTGTTTTGGGGTTATTGCTGCATTGAGTAAATCAGCAAATCAGTACTCCAAGCAGCGTCTAATGCAATATAGAAACCAAATGAAGTTATTTGGCATAACTCACCTGGCTGAGGTAACAGCAGCCTGACCAGAAGGATAAGGCTGAATGAACCTCACTTTAGTTTCACTAGGAATGAACCAGGGAGCTGCTGCAAGGGTGAAGATGGGGTAATGGGAGAGATGCAAGACAGTTGTGCAAAGGGATGCTCAGGCTCAAGAGACGAGATACAGTATAAATTGTGTAGAAAAGTGGAACTGGGCAAGACAAGGAGCTGACCTTTCTCATCTTCCAAAGACATGCTGGCGAGGTTAGCTGGCATCTCTAAATTGTCCCTGTGCACCCAGAAATCAATTTACAACCCATCCTGTATGTAGCCCTGCCTTGTGCCCAGTTTCCCACAAGCCTTTCCAGGAGAAGTGACATTATACTGATGGATGGGTGCAATACAATGACTGATTTCAAGAATGAACAAAAGTATTCATACACTCACATTACTAACTCCATTGAACGTCTTTGGCTTCTGCTAAGTCTTTTGTGTGGTTGTGGGTGAATTGCTGGCATCCGTCCAGTGAAATTCTTTGAAGCAAGCAGCTTTGACCCATAGTATTTCAGTTTCTTCTTTTTTACTTGAAGGCATGATATTGAATTTTTCTCATTATTTTAACATTATTTTCATGATAAATAATATATTTGAAACTTAGTTGTTTTCCCTAATAATTGGGGTTTATTCACAATTGTCTTTACAATATAAATTTTTTAACATTATACTTCTTTAAACTGAATGTGATTTTGAGGTCCAGTACAAAAGATTGTACATAATAATACTGATCTTTTAATCTAGTTTCACTTTTAAGTACATTGATATGGGTTCCCCTGTTTTTTAGCTAGAAACCTTATTTCTATGAATTCTGTCAGAACCATACAGTTCAACAGCCCCTGTACACTTGAGAGAATCAGGTGGAATTATTGTTAGTTGTGCTTCTGAGCAGAGCATAAGCACATATTCGAAGCACTTTAAAAGGTCAATCTGTGCCACTAATTTCTTGGTTTTTACTGCATAGATAAAGCAAAATACATGAAAACCACAAACCACCATGTTTAAAGGCATCATTCCATGCAACCAGAGTGGTGTTCTAATACAAACACTTTAAGCATTTTAAGAAACTGGGGTAATTAAATTGAAACAATGCCTTTGGTACTGTTTGCATGTTCTTCTCTAGGTTAGCTGGCATCTCTGTCCTGTGCTGGAATGGTCCACTGCACGCTTCAAGTTGTTGAAGTCTCTACCAGGCAAAAGTGGCTTTCCTTTCTGGTCATGGTTAGTGTTGCTGAGGAGCAAAGGCAAACAGCAACAAAAATTGGGCATAAAGAAACACAGAACACAGAGAATAAAAAAAAAGCAGTTGCACAAACTGTTTCCTTAATCAGTGTTCAGAGAAAGCACTCTACAAAATGGTTAAAAAAGTCTAGCATGCTCTTAAAGTAAATGAGAATAATGAATTTCTAGCACGTGCAAGTAGGGTATTAAGTAGGCAGCGAGAGGAAAGAATGTTGCAATGGGGACTAAAATTAAAGTTTTTTTCAGTATTACAACAGAAAAAGAACAGTAGAGAGTCACAGGTATAAAAATAGGAAACCTTTAGATGGTGAAAACAAAATTTCCACAACAAATATTTCACGTTTGCCAAGAAAGAAATAACAATATGTCTCAGGTTAAGCAACCATAATCTTCCATGTTCATTAATATTGACACAGAAGAGGTATGAGCATTACAGTTACTGAAAGCAGTTAAGTAAACAGGTATCAGGGCCTGATGGTGTTCTACCATTTATATTTAAGAAATCAATAGGTTTTTTCAAAGGCCATTGACAAGAGAATGGCTAATTTAGTGCCCTGACAGAAGACCATAACAAAATCAAGTGATTTTAAGCCAAAAAGTCTTAAATCGCTCGTAAGCATATGGAAATTATAACTAGAACTAAATTAGGTCAATGGGATTCTAGGCGATAATCAACATGCGTTAAGAAAAGGTTACTGAAGGTCTGCCTTGCCTAATTTATTAGATTTCTTTGAACAAGAACTAGCTGTAAAGGATACAAACAGAGCATATCATATGATATATTTCTAAGGCTTTCAGTAAAGTTCCTCATAAAAGGTTAATTGCCATACTGCTGGCAATATGCATTTAAGGAAATGCACATACACTGTATTTAGATTAACTACTGCAGTTGCAGTTGGTTACAGATAAGTAGTGAATACTCAAATTGTGATGACTTTATAAAGACTGCTGTTCTTCCTTATATACATCTATGATCTAGATTCTGGTATAGTGAATAAACTAGACAAGTTCTCTGATGATACCAAAATTGCAAGATCAACAACGTTTTATATGTGGGCAAAGTAGTTTCAGATCTGTAGAAAATTCAAAATGCTTATAAAAAAAACATTGAAAAACAATGCACAAGCAAACAATGACTGGATTTATATTTTAAAGCGCATAATTTAAACCAGGAAATGTTGTGTCATATACATAAAGGATCCCAATTAAAGCATCCAGCATCCACAAAGGTACTGCCAAAATCAATTCCATGGACTTCATCAGAATCAAATGTGATACACAAACCAGACGACAAACAGAGAGACTATTTAAAACAGAGAACAACATGCACTTCTTTACTCAAAGGGTTGCGGGAGCCTAGAAAAAGCTACCCTGTCTTGTTGTGGAACCCTGGCTTTTATTTCAAGAAACAGCTGGGTGAAACAAGATAACATGAGATCACTTTATTGGCCACATACATTTTCTTGCATTAGGAAATTCTTTTTGCATACCTCAACTTGCTCCCCATGAGACACACAGACACAGACAGGGAGAGAAACTTGGGGTCAGCCATTTATACGGCGCCCCTGGAGCAGTTGGGGTTAAGGGCCTTGCTCAGGGGCCCAACGGAGTAGGATTCCTCTGCCGGCCGCAGGAAACAAACCGAGAACCTTCCAGCCACGGGCGCAGATCCTGAGCCACAGAGCCACCACTCCACCCCTTTTTTTTTTAAATGCTTGGATCAAATATTAACAGCCGTATCAACAGCTAGATGGGGTAAATCACCTCCTGTCATCGTAAAATTCAGAAAACCAAAAAGCGTCTTGAATGCTTGTTAAATTGGTTTTAGGTTTTTATTTGAATTTTAAGATCTCGTAAGATCTTAACCAGGCACTGAAGTTAGTTCACTTTGTGGTGGACAATGCATTAACTACCATTCCTCAGCCTTGGGGATAGCCTGAATGTGAGGTGTAAGAGAGCAGTAGAAATCAAAAATAACATCATAAATTACAGTGTTATTCACCTTTTTTGAGGCTGAGACATACTTGTAATAAAAATTTAAACCCTCCAGGATGTACAGAAAGAAGTCAAGGGGGACTGAAATGTCATTTTACCATTGCATGACAGGAGTCATTTTTAGCTCTGTTCTATTTTTGTAGAAGGTATTTATTAGCAAGAATTGCATTTAGGGACAGATTATACACTTTAATTATGACACAAGAAGACATTTTGCAAGTGTATTCATAGTCATGAAGCAATATGACTTGTTTTGGGTTTCATTTGTCATAACATCAAGCCCTCATTGACCTTAATGTTTTTGTTTTTTCTGGATGACCTTTCTGTATGTAAATTTTTTCTTCATTGTTTTTTTACATGAGTAAAAATAAAGTTAACATATTCACCTTCCAAAGACACACAATAGGAAAGAAAATATCAGGAATAACAATATATTAAAAATCTGAATTTTGTAGCTGCATGTAGGAACAGAAGAGGCCCATGAAGAGAAAGTCTTCAGGGTGTTCACAATTAGAGTGCAAATACAAATATCTTTTTTTTTCTGTTATGGTGTTCTTTTTCACTGTTCTGGGCAATTCCCCACGCTCTTGCAGGTGCATTTTCAATAGTAAAAACCTACAACCTCTGTGAAATTTCTAAAAACAAAGTTGGGTTGGGAAAAAAAAAAACATGTGCTGTAAGGTATTCAGTCCCTTTCAGGGCTCTCCTGTGATTCAACGGATTAAAAAAGGAAATATTGAAAAAAAATAATAAAGGATTACACAGAAGTCTACAATAAAGATTTTTAAAGCCTTCATAGATTTAAATTACAAACTCACGTTTGGTTTCACTAGGATACAAGCCACATCCCTTTACATTTCAAATGAAATTGAAAAAAGTCAGCAGTACACCACATCTTTGTCATTTCATAAAACATTAGTACATTAGTAAATCATTAGCAAATTATAATCCATGAAAAGACTGCTTGCTAAATAAGAAAAGCAGGAGGTGATTGCTCTGAGTATCATCTGGTACCTTTGGCTAAAAAATCACTCTTGATGCCAAGGCATACTGTCCTATGGTTATTTAAAACCTTTCTGGCTTCAATCAAAAAATATCTTATTAGATCTTATTACAGTATAGAAAATAAAAAGAAACATTTTAACTTCAGACTACATGGACATTTACCATCATCCTGTGGTTGTTCTTAGCTTGTTTGGTAAAGAAAAATAGACACTCACTTAATTTGAGTATTGAGAATAAGGCACAAAAAATCACTTTTTTACATTTGAATTAATAGAAATTTGTACTGTAGAAATTCCCCTTGCGAGAACATTACTAATTCTAATACTGATTTTGTCTTGTGGTGTGTAACAGCATCATCACATTTGTAAATACCAAGGAAGGGAAATATTTATTCTTCCCAGCTAAGAACTAAAATGCTACTTTTGAAGCAGACATTCAGATAATGTGACAAATGAGTTGCATATTACAGATTTTTAGTTATTTTCTAAAACAAAGTATCAGAAAAAATAGTCTACTATTTCGAAGTTTATTAGATAACTAACAAACACTATGATTTCTACCAGTTTACTATTCTAATAATACTATAAAGACACCTGAAGTACATAAAAAGGTTTAAGCAAACAATAGAAATTGTTGACAAGCACTGACTACAGGAGATGTGCATGAGATACTTTATTAGAATGCTGTGTGGTTATCAATAATTATCTCTTCTTGGATTTTATTATTTCTTTAGGGGTATGCTCAGTATAACAATAAAGTTTTGCTAGATAGTCGAGTTTTTGTACTATTGGCAACTAAATAGACAAGTCTCTCCCCTGTGAACAAATTATTGGAGTTCATTCGATTCTGCTCTGATGGTTTTTAGGGATTAACTTATATTTTAAATGAAAAATGAAAAAATGTGATCACGAGTTTGAGCCTTTATAATGAGTGAAGTTTTTAACCTGTAGTTTAGCCTTTTAGCAAACGTTTACTCCTAGAAAAAAAGTTTGAGATTTGTTAAGAGCACCTTTTAAAACAAGAGCTTTCTCTGCGTTGTTATTTTTCAACACCTATTATTTAGACGAAAAAGTTATGTGCATTACCTTAGGGTCAAAAAGACTGGTTACAGAGTTTTGAAATATCCCTGTAATAGGTCAATGAGGTGCAATTCGAAATGCGATCAATGCGATTTGAATGGTCAAAAAATGATCGCTTTTTAAATCTCTTCATGAAGAAAATAGGCTACTTATCAAGCGTGTTACCTTCAATCTAATAAAGTTTAAACTTTAATTTTATTTAAAACAATCTAGTTTTCTCTGATTGCTGTCTTATGTGTTTATTCGCATTCACATGGATTCTGTAACTACTGTACGCCGGGTTAACACAATCATTTACAGTATGGCTATTTCGTTCAACGCATGTAAAAGTTAAATTTATATTCATGATGACCCTGATCCTAATAGAACCTTTTATCCTTACCCTAACAGTATGCCTAAAACTAACAATTTTCGATCTCTTATGTAAGAAATGCTGTGCAATTTTATGAATACTTATGTACCTGTTATGTCTTATGTATTTGTTACGTCTTTTGAAGCAAAGATCACGAGCTAATATTGCGCGGCAGGTACAGGTAAGTTAAAAAAATGAGGGCACTCCTGTTAACTATGCAAAAAATGGATAGTGCGCTCTTAATTATTGACATGGTATCGGATTAGGAAATTACACGGGGATAAAATGGTTTTATAGTTTCAATTTGTGTTTAACTTACTGCAGGGAAATCCCTGAACACTCTTTAAAAGCGCAACGATCAGAAGGCAAACATGCATCGTCAAAGATTTTTGAAGGAGAGGCAAAGTCTCAGATATTTGAACACAACACAGGAAAAATGTCTCTGCAGAAGATCGATTTCTGTGAGTATTTTTTCAACATCTCTTTACACATCAGTTTCCGCACATCAGTGGTCTGACTTACTGACAGTCACCTATGCATATTATTTTGTGTTTTATATATATAGTACTATATTTATTCCGCAGTTACACTTGTTCAGAACTTATTCCGTTCATAGTTTTCTTTGATCTTTTACCACTTTACTGTTGAAAAAGAAAGAAGGCAAACGGTCAGCTTTCGTTTAAATGGCTAAGAATAATAAAAAAAAATTTTGGTTTAGTAGTTATCTGTTTAAAAATAGTTCAGTCCGAGAATAAGTGAACAAGTATAACTGAGGTGTGGTAAAGTTTTTAACACCGGGGATATTCTCCTTTTCCTTAGAACTCCTGACAAGTCTTAAATGTCCTGTCCTTTTTTTTTTTTGCAGTATGCCATATGTCTAGTAGTTTGAAAATCTAGATATACTACCACTGCATTCAGTCGTTAAGTTATTATACGCAAAACCAGGCTAATCACAAAAGGCTGTTGTGGTTTATCATGATGTAATGGCAGATCGGCTGTGCATCTTCAGTGACTCCAACGGGTTTCACCGATTCGCGTCAAAGAAATAGCCCGCGCTGTTAAGAGCCGACCTAACACTAACGCACATTTATTTGATTTTCGACGTTGATTCCCCCCCCCAGGCTTCAGCGCATGGCTGGTTCTGGCGCTGCTCTCGACTCACTTCGCCGCTGTGTGCGAGGGGAGCGCCGGGGGACAGCAGCACAGAGCCAGCAGCCCTGACGTCCTGGGGAGCTGCCTGGAGCGCTCCAGAACCCTGCTGGCCAACGTCACAAACGCGCTGGGGCAGGTCTGTACCGCCCGGCAGTTCTTTTCGGAAGGGTTTTGTAGAATGTCTTAGTTGTTTTGGGTTGGGGTTTTTTTTTTTTACAATATTTTAATTCTCGACTCTTTTCAATTGCCCCACACGCAGAAAGACAACTACGAGGGGTTCAACTGCTCTCAAATACTTCTGTCGCTGGATATCACCAACGGCATGACGGTGAAAGCCTGTGAACCCGACACCGAAGAGGTACGAACGCGTTCGTGACTTACAGCCGATCTGTTAAAGCGTTGTTTTTTTATATTTTTTAACTGAAATGCTCACATGCTTTTGTTTGTTTAGCTCGCAAACTAAAAACCCAAACCCTGTTGTGTAAAAAGACGAGGACTAGCGCTCGCTCGTCAATGGGTCAGTTATCGCAGAGATTCCCAACCTCGGTACTGGAGGAACAGTCTGCTGGTGCCTTAATTGATCTGCTTGTTTGCTTAGATATCCAACTACAGTAGTTCGTTCACTCAGCCCCGAGTGTGAAAATACCCTACTTCAAGATTACTGTGTAGAACTGCCGCTCGCAGAATTGTACACAGCCCCTCAACTCGCAGTTATTTTTGACTGAAAGGCTCTTGCTAGTTAATCAGTATACACTGAATAGATACAGGCCGGAATTACACTTTCACAGCGAGCATTTTTGTGCCTTCTGCAGAAGTTGAACTGGTTACTGTTCAATCAACATACTGTACTTGAATAAGGGCACTTCTGAAATCCATAAAATGGTACAATTATATTCAAATTCCATTTGACCTTTAAAGAGCTGAAAGCAAATTTACAGATAAGGCCCAAAGTGAAAACTGAAATTAATAAGCCTGTGATTAAGAGCTCAGCTGGAACAAAAAAACAGATAAATGGAGTGTTCTTTCAAGTCCAAGGATGCAAATACTGAACTACAGTATAGTGGTGAGGTAGTTCCAAAGTGCAACCTGCTACTAGCCACACAGAAGAATAGACCAACAGAATCCTTTACACTTTAGAACTTGTGTAAATCTTTATAGTTTTTTGCATCTTTATAGTTTGTACTGTTATTTCTGTTACAGAACACAGGATGCTCTGGGCATCGGAAAACACCATTTAATAAGGTAACCTTAATAGATATTGGTCTATTCATTAACTTGTCAGTTTTACAGCTCGTTAGATACTCACTGTATTTTTTTTCTTTCTTCAGTCTGCCTGCTTGGGGAATATCAGCATAGATTTATGGGATTACAAGAACGAGTTGCTGAGTTACAAACATGCAAACCTGGAAGGCACCCTAATAAAGAGAGTAGATGAACTACTTGAGGTAAGAAGATTTTTTTTCTGCATAAAACAAAAAACTGCATATATGTGTATACACACAGAGGACAATCCCACTGGTTTTGTAGTGTGGTCCTTCAGTAGATCCTACAGTACTGCAAAGCGCATATGCTATATACTCATACAGTACATATGCATAATCATACAATTTCTAGAATCTTTCACTGTTGCTACTTTTGTCTTCCTTGGGATCTATAGTAAAGAGATAAAGGTAATATAAAATACTCAAGCACACTAAACATCAGATATGGAAAGATTGGGAAGCAGCACGCACCCTAAAAACACACACAGAGGTGGACAGAAGCCAGACTGACACACTGCTAGGAATATCCCTTCCGAAGTGGGAGTTTTTGTTTACCAAATTGCAAAGGAAAACGAAAAGCAGCACATCGGCCAGCGCTGCACAAACAACAAAATGTCTGATCAGGACAGTTTCACTGAGCTGAAACTCAGCCCCCAACATGGTACTGTTGTAGTAGGAGGTACCTCAACAGTACAGAGCAGATGCTTGTTGACTGTGCATTGTACATGTAGGTTATTTTCTAAATCACCTTTAGCTCATCAATTTGTTAAGACCTGGAAGACCTGTGAGTTTTAATCCACTTAGAATTTTGATCCATTTGTGTCAAAGGTGACCAACTGTGTTCCTTGAGCGATACTGCATGTGGGGATTTTCATTTCTTGTTCCATCTAAACTGCTTAGCTGCCTAAAGGGTAAAAACAAAAATGTTTCAGGAGTTTAGACAAGGGTGATCTGAGAGTGATTGATAAATCCTGCTTGATTACTGCATTAGGAATGACTGTTCCTATTCAACGGCATGAAAGAGAGCTATCCTGAAGGTCTCAATTTAGACTTTTCTGCATGGTACCGGATTTGCATACAATTTCGATCATTTTCAACTATGAAGATGCTGCAGTAGCTTGTGTGGTCTTTCATAATTTTTTGTACAGAGTATGGATGAATAAAATAACAATATCAATTAGCAAGCTGATAAACATGACCAATATGTGTTACAGATATAATTTTATTGTATATTACTTCAATTTGCCCAAAAATCTACAAATAAAAACCTAAGATGCTCAACTGTCTCTTACTTTTTTACACAACAGTGCTTGTCCTCAGCAGCTTCCACACCAAACGTAAGTTAATTTTTAATGCCTACTTTGCAATGAAAGTGAATTTGCTGAGATGTCTGCTTCTATGACTATAAAATGTGTACAAATTATTTACTTCTGTTTAATTTATTATACTCCAATGAGTCTTATATGCATTTGTCAAGTGTTCAGTGTTTCATAGATTGAGATTACTTTAAAGTCCCCACAAACTAAATATTTAATAGCATTCAGCAAACAGATGTGCCGATTGGGTATTTGGCAAAATTAAATGTTTTTGTATAGATAGTAAAATACATCTGGAAATATTTTGATATTCCAAATTGTAAGTGCAGCACAGGGCAGAAGACAAAGAACATGTAATTCCATGAGAACTATAATCCAAACCCTGTAAAACAGCAGAACCATATCAAATTATTTTCACTTCTTTTTTTTCTAGGACTCTTTCACCCTTACCCCAGCCCCCCAGACTGCAACTCTGGAGAATAACTTTGAGAACAGAGAGAGGCTCTGTAAAGTTCTGAAGGCATTCCGAGTTCGCATTGTGACTATCAGCCGAGTTCTCAGTTATATTAAGTTGAGCAGAATGTCTTAGTCGCTCTGCTTACTACAAGCCAGGACTGCTCCAACGGTTTACATCTATTTTTCATATGCTGTCAAGGAAAATAAGCTACAGAAATCATTGCTGTTTATTTATAAGATGATACTTGTGTGTGTTTTTCCAAATGGAATCTGTTATTTATTGAATTATTTAATTAAAACCTATATTAAAAGGAATAGTAATAGCAAAGCACTTACTTGTGTATGAAACATGTTAAGATCATCAGATTTAAATTTCACCTGTGTCTCAACTTGAACTATTTATTTTTGTACTGTATTTATAACATCTATGATAATAAAAAGTTAATTGTGCAAGTGCCTTGTCTGTTCATTACAAGCAATATATGCTGATTTATTTGTTCAGATACTCATCTAGTAGAGTATGTGCGAAATACCAGCACTACTAGTGTTAATTTATGTAAAAATTAACTTATTTTACTTTTCTGCACACACACTCAAGTGTAATTATTCAAGTACTATTAATGAAAGGGTATTTTTTAAACAACTAGAATTATGTTCTTTTTCCATCTAGAGTTTTAATGTTATAGAATGTCCCTTTCTCAAATTAGGACACATTTCTTGTCTTTTTCATGACTCAGATGTAGATATTTTTAAATACTAAACTACAGCAAGCTTGTTTTAAAAGAAAAAGGTATGACTTTGCCAATATAGTTGGAATAAAATCCTTTAACTTGATTGGAAGTGTTCTGTATTCACTAGATACCAGAATATGCTTACTCTCTTGACTAAGAAAATAATGTCCTTGTGAAAGTTCTTTGAATGGCTGTCAAAACAGAAGGCACATTTTTCTAAAAGCCAAAGGTGAAACTGAAAGTAAAACCACAAGTGTGATGCAATGGTGTATTGCTACAGGCAAATCTGAAATTTCTAATTTTACCACTACTTAACTCTCGGAAGCTTGAACAATATTGTTTGACATTTATGTGGTTCGAGCAGATAGCTGTCATAGATCAATGTAAATTCCTGTGTATGACACATCAGTTTCAGTATCTATGCCTTGTACAGCTCCTTAACCTTTTCCCACACACCAGTGAAGACAGACTTTCCCTTCTGTCTTCAGACTTCTTATATTTACTTGCTTAATTTTGTTGTTCGTACTAGTTTTTAGCAAAGTAGGTGAGGTACATCAATTGAATACTGCTGCCTTTGAACCTAGACCTGGGACTGGCAACATCTCAGAAGTGGTTTACCAAGAGTTAACGTATTCACTCCCCTTTCCCAATCTGCATGCCATTCATACTTTTTTAAACATCAATAATAGTCCTATTTATGTTTTAGCAGCTTCATTAATAAAGTTGTTGATCTTACCGCTTAGTGTAATTCTTGCCCTTGCTGAGATCTCCAATCTTGGGTTTGCAAGTTAGATACTTTAAACAGCACACAGATCTTAGTATTCAGTCCTTAACCAGCTCTGGGACAGACAAAAAACAGATTTCAAACAGTATGTCCAAATATCACAGAGGCATGTAGATGTAAAGGCTAATAGCAGTGAAAATGCTACTTTCTTCAAAGACTCAAATTTCACAAGCAGGGACTCAAACAGGTTGTGTTTTTGAAGAGGAGTGCCCTTGCATGTATGGTCCATCTCCTGAAGCACAATCTTCACCTCTGTACTCATCACATAATGAAGCAAAAAGATTTTCTTGGTGAATAACACAATGAAACTTTAATATCACCTGACCAGTTTGATCCTCAATGATCTTTACTAATCGCTTCTGTTTTTCGATTATAGCAAGAGCACCATCCATTGTTACGGAAAATAATATTGCGATGTTAATTCCTCTTTCCAGAAAATGATGAACAAACTTTGACTCTACCTTTACTTATTGTTGTCCCATGCTTGGCTTTCAGACATCATACTCTTCCATGGCATGGCTCTGAGTCACAGGATCTTGCAAGAACTGCTAACCACAGTATGTCATTTATACCCACAATCTCAATTGCAACACTAAAATACCACTGTATATTTTGAATGCCACCACCTATCATCTGCTAAGGTCTTCTGCCATTTCAATTTGAGTCTCTCAACTGATCTCCAGGTACGTGTGTTATTCTGGAGATGTTTGTGTTTTCATCAGTCAAACCATTAAACAAAACCTGTGGAGCTTGTACTGAAACAGTAAATAGTAAAGAATGCCGTTTGGCTTTTTTTATACTTTGCCGTGGCCCATTTAGTTGAGTCATCTTTGTCCAGCTCATCCCAAGCTTGTTTTCCCAGCTTCGTCTGAACATGTCATTGGGCACTTGATTCAACAACACTCTCACAACAGAAAGCCCAAACAGCCCAATCTTCATGTTGGACAAATCCGTCTCAACAATGAGTGAGCATCTAGGTTTGCTCACTTACTGTAGGAATCCCCATTTAGTCCAAAATGTTTGACCCTTCTTTTAAAAAGGATCAGTGGCATTACATGCTTTCCCTTGACTCAAGGTAGGCATATTACAGTTGCAAGAAAAAGTTTGTGAACCCTTTAGAATCACCTGGATTTCTGCATTAATTACTCATAAAAATGTGGTCTGATTTCAGCTGTCACAATAATAGACAAACACAATCTGCTTAAACTAATAACACACAAACAATTGTACTTCTTTTCAGTATTGAACACATCATTTAAACATTCACAGTCTAGGTTGGAATAAGTATGTGTACCTCTAGGCTAATGATCAAAAGCTTACTGGAGTCAGGTGTTCCAATCAAAGAGATGAGATTGGAGATGCCCTGCCCTATAAAAAAGGCACACAAAGGTTAGTTACTGTCAGAGTCAGCTCTTCTCAAGAGAGCTGGTCATGTGAACCATTCCGTTATCAAAAGAAATATCTTAGGACCTTAGAAGAAGAATTGTAAATGTGCATAAAGCTGGAAATGGCTACAAATGCATTTCTAAAGGCCCGAGTGTTCATCATTCCACAGTAAGACAAATTGTCTATAAATGGAAGAAATTCTGTTGCTACTCTCCCTAGGAGTGGGCGTCCTGCAAAGATCACAGCAAGAGCACAGTGTGCAATGCTGAAGGTGAAAAAGAACCCGAGGGTAACAACAAAGGACCTGCAGAAATCTCCTGAACTTGCCAAAGTCTCTGTTCATGTGTCCACTATAAGAAAATCACTGAACAAGAATGGTGTTAATGGAAGGACACCACAGAGGAAACCACTGCTTTCCAGAAAAAACATTGCTGCATGTCTCAAGTTTGCAAAAGACCACCTGGATGTTTCACAACACTTCTAGGACCCTGTTCTGTGGACAGATGAGACAAAAGTTGAATTCTTTGGCAGAAACACGCAACGCTATGTTTGGAGGAAAAAAAGCACTGCACACCACCAAAACCTCATCCCAACTGTGAAGCATGGTGGTGGGAGCATCATGATTTGGGGCTGCTTTGCTGCCTCAGGGCCTGGACAGATTGCTATCATACATAGTATAATTGTTTGTGTGTTATTAGTTTAAGCGGATTGTGTTTGTCTATTATTGTGACTTAGTTGAAGATCAGACTACATTTTTATGAGTAATTAATGCAGAAATCCAGGTAATTCCAAAGGGTTCACAAACTTTTTCTTGCAACTGTACTTAAGTGATTGAGCTGTGTTTTTTTTACAACTTGGTCTCTTTGGCATTAATTTGACTTTTACTGCACTTACAACTTGTGGTCATTATGCTGTTTATTCAATACGTCTGGCCTAGGTCTAGACCTTATTACAAAAAAAGCAACAATTTTTTTCTGCAGATTCAAGATATTCCCAGAAAGAGGCCGATTTAACTTATTAGTGACTGTTCAGTATCAATACAGTCCATAGTTCAATACTTTATCACCATAACAAATAGTTGCATGGAATTTTGTTTCCACAGAATATGATACACCCTAAGTAGTGATGTCAATAAAAAGTGGGGTAAAAATGGTAAAAGAGGTATTATCTGGCTGTGCTTAAGTAAATGCAGTTTTTATTTTTCCTCTCAATTGGAGAACGGCGCTATCAACACAAAAACAACACTGCCACAAACCAGAAGTATAATGTCACACTGTCTCTCTAACAATGTCAGTGAAACTAGATTTTCTTTGGTGACAACAGAAAGGTTATTCTGCAGCAAACCGAAGAGTCCAAAACAAAACTGAAATTACAGCCATGGTACAGTACATCATATGTAGGACTGCCATTTAAAATATGATTCAGAAAACTTCCATGAGCCTAGTGGGAAACAAAGGAATATGACAATGCTGATTGCTAACATGATAAAAACAATAAAAAATTAACTTTAATGAAAAAGTTAAATTAAAATGAAAGAAAAAAATCTTTCAGGCTAACATGCTACTTTTTTATTCAAAGGTCTTTAACATAAACGTTCAATGATTTACAATTGTGGTTTTACTTTCTTATGAAGAACAAAAAAATAACCACCCCGCCAAAGAGAATAATGACAGTAACATGAACATTCTTTTGTAGAAAAGAATAAAGGAATCAGCGACACCAAGTATGAAATAAGGAACTCTGTATATTGTTGTCTGTATTTTACATATCATTCCTTGATCCAAACCACTCAAGCTTCAGTTAAAAAACTTCTGAAAGGTCTTTAGGTAAGATGCATCCCTTTTATAAAAGCGTTCTGCTACTGTTTGATAAACATTATTCAGGCTACATTTGTGTCTCCCTGAAAGAGACACTTTTGGGACAAAGCATTTGAAATTATTTACAGTACATGGTATCCCAGTTCTCCTTTGAATCATTTATTTTTATAAACTGCCAAGATTAACATTTCTACTTGAAATGTTTTATTTTAATGAAAGACACCTACTGTATGTAGGTCAGTTCATTGAGTACTGTATATATTCTTGAGTATAACTGACTTTTAATGTTTTTTACTCTGATTTTTCAGTTTGCAGAGTGAAAAATGTGAGTTCAAGTAAAAACTCAATCTCATATCAAAATAAAAGTCAATACCGCAATCCACCTGCAGGCCCCAGATTATAAATCCAGACACCGACGTCATTTTCTGCTGAAAACAAACAAGATTATTCACATCAATTAAAGAGCTGCCATCAAGCAGAGAACCAGAACTTGTAGTGGTTGAGTTGGCAGGTTGACTGACTGATGCTTTTTAACCAAGATCTGTCTGATTAAGCACACTCAACTGGAATGTAACACACAGTACTCTGTAATAGTTGCCATTTGGACACTTTAGGAAAGGAACACAAAATGTAAATAAACACAAAATTAAAATTCAATTGCACCATTCCTTTCGGAAGTGTGTGTGGACATCTGACATCAGAAATCTTAAAATACGTAAGTAAAACAGCATGTCTTCCCAAATTAAACACAGGTTTGTCTTCTTAATGGCAAAAGTAAAAAAATATTTATATTTACATTCTCTGAGCACTATACAAAGTTCGTATTTTTCCATATTCAATATCTACGAGATATTTTGTACAAATCATTAAAAAAGTGTTCAGCATGTCGTGGAAGAGCTCTTTGTCACAGTATCCACTCTTCTGTCAAAGGAGTTCTGATAACAGCACCAGCGACGTCCATTTTAAACCATTAGTAGACAACGTAATTCTTGCTGTGGAGGCATCAGCCACAGTACAGATAAGGGCTTCTGTTCATCAGTTTCCATCCTGCTTATCGGTGGCTACTTTAGTCCTCTAATGCCCTTCAAAAGTGGATCAGTTTCCATGAGATCAAGTCAACAACCATTCGACATGTCTACAAGAAAGGGCAAAATCCAATTAGCTTACATCCTATCTGTAACAGGCTATACAGCAAAAACACAACTTAGTCTTAAAAAATTTCTGAGACCAATTTAGATTGATATGGCTTTCCCCTATAAAGCATGCATTTCAAAAGAGTCTGGGGTTAAGAAAAGCATTATTTTAATCATTTGTCACCACGAGTGAATGTCAGATCTAAACTTGCTTTTCTAGTTCTGAGGAATAAAGTTTTGGAATTCATAAGTCATCAGATATCTTAAAATAACCATAACATGTACAGGATCCAAGACAGAGGGAATATGAATAAACATATCTTCATTTACTGTTAAAGTCACTGATATAAATATGATAAAAGTGCAGATATTAGCAATTGGCAGAACCAGCTATTCTATCTGATTTTCCATTCTAGCTTTCTCTGAACATGGCTAAACTTTATAAGTACACACTTCTGCAGTAATTTAAGGTTCTATTGTGTGTAGTTTGCAGAGTGCTTTAGGTTTAAGAGGAACTAATGGCTTTTATTGGCCAATTAGCATCAGCGAAACCTGTAAATCCTAACATCACAGTATCTAACATGATGCAAACTTATTGTGACAAGACAAGATTGGGAATAAGGGATTATGTGCATTTAATATTTTAAACCTAACTGAAAACATCACACGTCTTTAAAGTATACTTTGCTTCTATTTTCATCTCAATTAGGACAGATGAAAAGATAAAAAATATTTTTAACTGTAGGCACACTGGAGACTAGAGGCACAGCTGAGCCTAACTGTGTATATTGAGGCCAAGTTCAACATAAATGGATTGGTTCAGAGAAGGTCTTACAAGGAAAAAAAACTACAAGCTGCTGAACTTTGCAGATTCCTGCTGGCTATAGAAACATACTTTCCAAGACAGTCCTGACTTCGTTGGGAACATCTTCGCCATCGAGAATGTTGGACAGATGTGTCACAGTTGCGTTATTCTTCGCTCTCTTTCTCCATTCATCAAGCATGTTAAACTTCTGTATCGTCAGGTCTTCGTCTTTGGCCTGACTCTGATCAATATCCTTCTTCAACAGATTGAGATAGGAGATCCCCAGCTGCTTCCACTCTTTGCCCATACACTTGGCGATTACCATTAACTGCTGATCAGTTATAATTGAATTCTTAACATTCTTCGGGCCATCTACAACAAGAAAAACAAAAAATGAGTAGTCTAAAGACACAGAGTGCAAACGAGAACAGCCAGGCGAATTTCTGGTCTGAAGGCAAAGTCAGACAATGTGACTAAGGTCATCTTTTTCAACCTTGAACAGAGAAGACTACATGGGATTTAATTCAGGTGTTCTTAATGTGGAAAGATATGAACCAACCCAGCTCAGGGGGTGTCTTCAAGATCAATACAAGGAAGCAGAAATACAAGTGGGAAGTAACTTTAGGGGCATTCAGGATGATTGTGGAAGCCCAAGGCCAAATCCACTGGGAGCAGACACCATTGGATCCTGTAAGACAGCAGTGTGTCAACCTGGTCCTTCAGAGTTTATAGGCAGCTTTAAATATTAAATCTGAGCTTCAAAAACCTGTTAACTGATCCAAATTAATCAGCTGATTGATCCAATAACCTCTTTCAGACCTTGGTGGGAGAGAAAAACAGAAGGCATTGTGGTTCTCTGGGACCAGATTTGTAGGCCCCTGCCTTAAACACACGGGCACATAGTTTTACATACTCTCTAATTGTGCCCTTTGATAGACAGCTACCTTTAAAATGAGAATTCTCATCTAAAAAAAACAATAACACAAATGTAACACAGCCCTAACAACACATTATGATGTTCCTTAAATCACAGTACCACACTACTTCTGCATTTTTTAACTCAGTTATACTGTCAGAGCATCTGCTTTTAGAAGAACAATATTATGAATAGGGTAGTGGCACCAACACTCAACACAACAAAGAGACCACAACAACAGACAGAAAAGGGAACAGAGCATGAAACAGGCTCCTTTCTACAATTTATGAGGTTGGGGGAATTTCAGCCAGGCCAGATATTATTAATCTGTATGAGATATTATAACTGGAAATAACATCCTTCTTATTACAATTTTCAAAATGAATGAATTACTATCAGGGAAATACTATTTATATATCACCTCTCAATCCTGGACATATTCTCCAAATGGTACAGGTACTGTATTGTATTGTATCATTTAAAGAACACACAATGGTGCTAACTGCCTAACAAAAAGATTTGAATTGGATAAATTGAGATAAGAAATATTACCTGAACTGTCTATCCACCTGCCTTTCTTGCTAGGGTTTTCTTCCTCAGACATACTGCTGCTTGATCTTCTTTTAGTACCTTTTAGGAATTGAAGCTGTTAGTTACACCTCACATGTTTCTGTGTTTCCTTTTTAAATGCTATCAATCAATTTTAATCATTTAAAGAAGAAAATCTGCCTGGTCCTTCCTTAACTCTGAACTCTGAAGATTACACCTTCCCTGCTAAGAGGCAATTTAAGACTCCCATTTGTGGTGTCTGATCTCTCCACCACAACGTTCTCTCCTGCCTCTCGCCTCTCTCTTCTCACTCTCCCTCGGCTGCAGGCCAGCTGGTCATGCTTCTTCTTCACTGTCCAATTTCCTGTACTCCACCCTCCCTCACCACCACCGACCAGTGCCTACTGCAGACTCACAAGTTGAACTCTACACATGTAAATCCTGCCATCTACTGTTCTGCCTACCCACAGAGCACTGCATCCTGTTTTCTACTGCATGCAAGCTCCTGGGGCTATTATCACCACATAATTCTTAACATTTCTGAAACTATTTCCACTAACAAGAAATGTTCACCAGAACTATTCATATAATACATGTTTTTAAAAGATGAAAATGAAAACCATACATCACTTTTTTAACATGCATTAAAATGCATTGAAAATCACCATTTGTCCTTCTCTTTGATGTTTCCTCGAGGTTGACTGCTTCAACATCACCTGAAAATACAAAAAATACTTATTAGTCTATTAGAAATATTGCATTACAGTTATTCTTAAGTCTTGGAAATGTAAATCAGAAATGTTTTCATGAGTTCTGTATATTACAAGTGACTTCAGAGCTTTTGTAATAATATGCAGCAATCTACACGACATTTAACACTTCGTTTTAGCGCCAACTTTGAAGACAAGCACCGCGGTCAATGCAAATATTGCTGTAGTTTTAAAAGTTAGGCAACTTAAGGGAAAAGCCAAAGTCGATGGTGCTCAAGATAAACATACATGCCATAAAACAAACTAAAGCGAAAGGAAAAAATAGACTAAAGCTAAAAAAATTCAAATTTTGGGACAGTTCAAGATCTAGTCATCTTACAGCCACAGTTCATGAATTCACAAGTAGGTAAGGGACAATAAAGACACTAATTCTAAACTGCTGAAGAATTCTCACATTCCTTTTTAAATTCCTCTATTCCATAGCTGGTCTCTGCCTTACACCTTACAGATTACTCTAAAAAGCAGTACAGTGTATGTGCAAGTTATAAGTGTTTTAAGTGCAAATGTGATTATTTTATTAAACCAAAGGGAAGTTCTTCCCAGTGAACCGACAGAACAGAAAATAACAATAAGTGCCAGAAGGAGTCAAGAGGGACAGGCGCTGCTCTTCACCCACTGAACCTCAGAACTGCAGCGGGTTTTAGTTCCACTTTTGCAGCAACATGCAACATAGAGGCTGAACGTACATTCTCGAAGCGTGGCAGTCCAAACAGTCTGGTCCGAATCGGCCTCCATCAGTGAAAGCTTGAATGGCGGAGACTGTTCGTAATAAACCTCAAAATAACCTTTAAATTTGACAGCCGCTAACGTGAACTGAATGCCCTGGGAGGAACCAAAAAAAAACAACAACATTTTTTTTTAAATTGCCATTGAAGCACACAAACCTGTACAATTCTTGTACTGTGCATAGGCAACACATTCTCAGAAGGAAACCACACCTTTGTGAACTCGATCAGACAGAACCACATTACTATGACTGTGAAATTTAGGACAAAAGAAATCCAAGGAACTATAATATAAAATAGTAAAAAAAACACATAATTATATAAATAATAAATAAATAATTACTATAACACACAATATCGCTATATATACTGAAAGAAAAACACAACAGGTAATCACAGGTTCACAGAGTAATAAACATTTTCTTATTTCAAGGCTACAAGCAGAAATCACACCTCTGGAGTAATGTCTGCCTCGGGTTCACTGATTAGCCTGTATTTCTTTTTTTCTTCCAGGAGCTTTAGACAAGTTGGTGGTTTTTCCATTTTGATGTACTTTTTCTTCGAATGCCTGACTTCTTTTTCTATATCCTGACAGAAATGTGAAAAACAGTGACATTAAATGAAATCAAAAGGGAAAGACTTTCAACAGAATTTTGTTAAAAACCACAGTTGCACCGACGTATTTAGTATGAAAGACTGTGGCAATTACCCGTCTCTTCATGTACACTTGACCACAGGGACTCCATATGAGGCACTGAACAGTTTAATTAATTGTAATCCTCTTTAATACTAAGAATATGTTTGCTTTTTCAAACAGAATGAATGTGACATTTAAGAATCATTCCTACTTCCTCCTAGGTTTTGTGCTGAAACAAGTTGAACTGTTTTCAGTTTCGTACAATTTATGTAGTATAAATAAGGAAAAGTCCACTGCCACAGAGGGAACATATTGAATTCCTCTACCCAGACATCAAACAAAATCTTTCAAACATGTTGTTCTGATAGGAAGCCAGTACAAGACACAAAGTCAAGCCAGCATACAGTATGTTTTATTATGATATCTGAGGCGGATACTTGATTTGGGCATAAATCCTAAATGTTAATTCAAATAAAGGTAATTTTTGGACAGGGCACGTGTGAACATGGAGTTCCAACCTTTTTATTTTCTTACCAAAATAAAAAAAAAACTAGAGCAGAAACTGTGAATCCAGCCTAGTGCGTCACCGCCCTACTCTCGGTCTGCCAAACCACAGGGAGGAAAGCTTACTACAGAAGTTACCTTCAGCTCTTATTTAACGCCGAAGGTTTCTTGTGGTACCTACACTTCTTTCACCATTATGGCAGGGACTACCAGAACTGACAAATGAAAATGAAAAAAAAACCCACTGACATCACATGAGTCACACGAGCTTCCTTCATTAACCTTCCACACCAGCTAGTGTGCTGAGCTCCGCTTGTCCCGGCAACTGAGAAAGGAGATCAGGTTGTGAACTGCAAGGTCATACAGCAGTTTACCTTGATGTCGGAGTGATTGTTGGTGGCTAAATACACCCGGAATGATGACGAGGCATGGTGATCCACCACTTTATATACGAGAACCACTCCATGATGTTCAACAGGCTGTGATGTCTGAACTATGGGCCCAACGGGAGATAATGATGTCACATTCCATTTAATGTGGGATCCGGAGTGATCAGCTGAAGGCTCGATGATGGGGGAGTTGTTCTTCAGGTGCAGAAGGCCAAAAGTCATGCCGTGTTCCTGGTCTGTCACAACACAAAACATTCGCATTCACCTTACGCACGTCCTCATTTACGCTCTGCAAGGGCAACCTTCACATACATAACATTTCTGTTACAAGGATCAGCTATGAACAGCACAAACCTACAAAAGAATCATTTCCAGTTACATTAATTTACGGGTTCTCTGAAATCCCACAGCTGTATTGCGGATTTGTGAGTTGTTTGTGGTAGAAGGCTGAGCAGCATGTGATATATACTATAACAGTTTAAGAGCGGTAGAATAAGGTACATCTTTTTTTAAGTGATCTGACAAACCTTTAGGATACAGGATTGGGAAACATGGATTCATTCAGGTGCTCAATAAGGAAAAGCTTTAAAATAAGCAAAACCAGCTTGTTGTGACTATAAAAGATTAAGGACAAAGAGACTATCAAAATATTATATAATGGTTTCGTTTTAAAACCATTTTGTCTTTCTTCATGGCTGATCAAGACCAAGAATTTACTGATCTGTGCCAGCTGTTATAGATAGTTTTGTAATAAATCTTTCAAATAAATCTTTGGTAATAAATGATACCAACAGTATCAATCCTCTGCAACTTACCAGCCAGACACAGGGAATGAGGAAACTGTATTGCTTTAAGGATGGCTGGGTCACACTCCACATCAAAAATAGGTCCAGCAAATTTCCAAGAGTCTTTTAAATATTCTCCAAACTTGCTCCACGATAGGGTTGAATATTTAATATTAACTTTCCCCGAGACTTCGAACACCAAACCAGTGACTGAACATTGGTAGGATCCTTCATCCTGCAGTATCATGCTGTAAAAAGCAACGAAAAAGTAAAGTTCAGTTCAAAGATAAGCCTTATTATGTGTAAAGAAAAACGGGAATATAAACTTCACTTACAGCAAACGACCCCTTGATAGTTTCCGTGGAGTTACACGCTCACTGCACTGGGTCTGTGAAAATAACAGGAAAATGATTCTAGCAACAACAGCTCTTCACACCTTCTTTTTTCTAACTCTTAAGCAAGTGATATAATGTTAAGGAAATATGGGATGTGTTGTAATAAATCTATTAACAGCATCCATTTTGTATTGCTGTACAAAACAATTTAAACTATTTAAAGTTTTATTCCTGGGAAGTATTAACCATTTTTTCTCCTGGTTCCTATTTATGTCAGCCATGTTAAAATGATGCTTAACAAACAGCACTGCATTACCTGCATAGCGTTACACCTCTTACACGATGGGGTGATGTAAACATCTGAAAAAAAAGTTTCATTAGAAAAACATTTTTCATGAAAGCTTGGTTTAGCTTGGATTCCAATCCAATCTAATTTGATTTTATTAGGAGTATACTGTTGAGAAGAGGGATTTCCTTGAATTGTTCTTTCAGAATGCATTAATGTTTATAGTAAATGAGATGGATGTTTAGATGTAGAAAAACCTCATTATCAACATAAAGTACGTGACAAGTGAAGGTTTTAACCCTAATACAAATTTGATATTTTCATAGTTTAAACCAACAACTCTCACTAGGATGGTAATGAATGCAAATAAATTCTCATTTGCATTTTCTCAAAAAGACCAGGCTTGAAAGCGATAAAAACAAGCAACATTTGCAGTTTCACAGACTTTTCATAACAAGTAAAGCTGTGACAATGAAAGTCATTAATCTTGGCTTAGAAAAGCAGTGATAATGAAGATTATTAAATCAAGGTGAAAACTGGGAGAAATACACAAGGGGAATCAGGCAAGAGGTAATGTTAGGTGGAGAAATTGTATTATGTTTCACTCAGCTTCAGAAATGATCTAGCATATATAAATATCTAGCATATATATACTTATTATCTATTGATAACAACTGTAATTGTATTTTTATGACAATTCTGACAATATTCATAGAATAACTTCCACCACACTGACAGCAGTCTTGTTATCCTAGTACATTAAGAAAATAGTACAAGTATGTAAAGTATTATCTATATCTTTAGCAATGTTAAAATACATCTTTTAGATGTTTGGAATTTCACCAGGCTTTCTAACACTCTTGAATTTAGATTGGCAGTAAACACTTCAATCAAATGCTTTCACTTTAAACAGGAATGGAAAATAGAGAAGCAACATTTGAAAGCACTGACTTCCATTATCTTCTTTCTGGTGTTCTGAAATGAAATTTAGAGCCCATAAATCCAATGAAAGCACCCGAGGAAGATAAAAAATAAAGATACCTCCAAAACTATGTCCATCCTTTTGCGATTCTCTCTCAGCACTGTTTTCTGCAAATGAATATTAATAACATCAGTTTAAATCTCTTTCCTTTTCTGAGAACCATAAAACTGTAACTGTACTGTCACTGTAATTAGTCTTTTTTTTAAATAAAATACTCTTCTGGACTTCAAATCATAAACATGGACGCAATCCAATAGAAATCTGGTAAATCTGGGCATCTTGAAAAACAAATCCAATTATCTTCCCTGCATCACTTAACAACCTAACAACTTAATAGTTCTTACCATGATCTGAACCTCCTTCGTCTGCATCTTCTTTTTCTTTTAAAAAGAAAGAAAAACAACTGAAAGCTTCTGCAACTCACAATTACAAAACATTAAGCGTATGAGCTTAATATGAACACTCCCAGTCAGATTTTGACCAGGAATTATAAAGCAGTTGGTAAATGGGTTGCAAGAAAAAAGGAAAGGTGCAGCATGATCTGTAAATACAAAGCCCCCAAATTTATTTTGATTCCTAGGTTTTAGTTTAAACACCAAAACACCATGATCATTCCAAAGACTGGAAATAGATCATTGTGTCCTAAATGTTATGGACTTAAATGTCGATGCAATGACTACTGCGTAGGTGTACTAACGAATTAAAATTGAAAGAAATAAAATGTCGCTGTACCTTCAGAGCTTATATTAAACGCTACATATATTACTTTGGAGCAGGAGTACGTTTCTTCAAAATTATTAAAATTATAACAATTGTCCTGCCATGATCCATCCATACATGCAATTAGCATTTCATGACTTGGCCTTTTCCAAATGCATTCTGCTGAGAGTGATGTTCAAACATCGAAAAAGAAAAGGGCCAGATTCTGTGGTTCGGCAATGCGTCTGCCAGAAGCACATTGTTCTGCTCAGAAAGGTGGCAGGTGCTTTCATTTTCACAAGACTCTGCTGCCCTTCACTGTTTCCATACTCCACTAAGTGATTAATTACATGCTGGACAGATGAGCAGGGGAGCAACTGAGACTCAAGGACTAATTAGACTTTCCAATCAAGGATTTCTTCAAAGGACAGATCAGTTTGTATATGCATAAACTATTTTTATTTAAACAACAAACCCAATGTAATTTATTGAATACAAATTTCAGATGAACCTATGTACCGTACATTTAAAGTTTGCTCACCATTTTGTAGTTCTGAACTGGAGAGAACTAAGTGAAATGATTAACTACAAAATTTTTGTTTTTTTCTTAAATCCAAAGGGGTCCATTTTACCTGCTTCATTATCATTCTCTTTTGAGCTTTAATAAATGATAAAGAATTATCTGTATCATATGCTGCAAAACACAGCAGCTCTGGTCCCACTTTAAAATGCCAACAGATAAAAATATTTTATTATTTTAAGGTACAGTATGAAGAAAAAAATTATACAGGCTTAACACATTAAAATGTAGAAATAATTATCTGAAGCACTTACCAGATTCGTCGTCCTCTGAGCTGTCTTCTGTTGATGTTTCTGCCAAAAACATTAACTTAAAAATGAAAAATAAAATCGCTACAGACAGAAGCAATTGCTTTAAGCATAAAAGGAAAAACACAAAACAATTATCCGTTCTAATGGTACTGAAAACACTCAGGAACCATTTGCATCTCAAAGATGCCAAAGGTTTGACTGGATCAGTGAGAATTCTATAAATTTGTAGAAAAATGAATATAGGGTTGGATCTCAGGACGCCCCACGGAAAGATCAAAATACTGTTTTCAAACACACAGTTACACAGATTACAATAACACAAAAATAGTAAGAGAAAAGTAAATAAAATGCAAAAGAGTACAAACCTGAGCTACTGGGTTCATTTTCAACTGCACTGCCTGTTTAAGAAAAATTGTGCAAATTTAATAATGAATAACATTAGAAGAAAAAAAGAGAAATATAGCATTACATATAAGTTTAGTACTTTTAAATAATGCAGGTGATGTGACCTGCTTTTAGCATGAAATTATTAAATATAAAGTTGATTATTGTAAAGATAACTGAGCAACTGAAATTACAGGGGTAAAAGTCCTGGTGTTTGATGATACTCAATGAATGTCTTTGAGATTTATTGAAAACATTCACAGTTTCGTGCCACTTTACAAGGGACAATTCAGACAAAAATGCTAGCTGAATTAGCATTATTTGCATAACTCTTAAGTAATGTGAAATTAAGGACATCTACAGAATTTGATGTTATTCAGACAAACCCCAATAAGTACCGCACTAAAGTCAGACTGCAAGGACCTGATTTGGCTTTAACCTACTACGCTTGATGTATTGCAAGATGACCCGTGTATTCTGGGATAGAATGGCCAGCTACAAATCAAAGGCTTCTAGAGTGGCTGGGGATTGTCTATAAGTGTGACCCAGTGCAGACAGCTGCTGGGAGTTGGGGTTGAGCTGATCTCGGAATGTTTCATGATTAACCATTTCATTATTGTACCGTTAAGTATAGTATCCTTGCCTTTGAGGATAGTACAGGTTTTCAATAAACCCACGATTGCAGTTGCAGTTGTTATTATGTAAAAGAAAAAACACATGATAAATATGATTAACACAACGATTCATGAAGTTCTTGAATTGCTCCTTTTGTATTACATCTTTGTTAAAAAAAAAAGATCACAATCTGATCGGTCAGTATGTGGTTTTTTCTTGCAAAGGTTTGGAATGTTTGGTGGCCTTTCATTTTAAAAAACAACTGCTAACAGGTTGCATGAACCATTTCAATCCAATTTTAAAATTAAGCACTGTTCGGAAACAGTTTCTGATAGGGCTGCAAATGACTTATTGCTGACCGCTGACTGCAGCCCTGTATTTATCTCTGTTTTGTTGGACCTCAGTGCTGATGTTGAAACTGTTGTCAGTGCAGTCCTGTTAGGTGCACTGCAGAGTGTCAAAGGTGTTACAGCCATGGATCTTTCATCCTAGTTCAATGAACAGCAAATGTTTAATGTAGACCCTGCTCTTCCTCAACAAAGTTGGTTACTTCTGTTAGTGCCCAGAAAATTGTTATGGAATATTTTCCGTTTAATATTTACATAGTACCACTGGGTCAGATCCTTCTGAGGCATGATACTGGACTTCTTTTGTTTTGCTATTGTATTTAACAAAAAAGCATATAAGCACCTTAATCAAGCAGTTTCTGCTCTATAATGCTGTACAGATTATATCAGAAAATGGATCCTCCCAAGATTCTTTTACCTGAGCTCTGATGAGACTGGAATTTTGTTGATGAGTTTTTTTCTTACTTTTTTGATGATTCAGCTCCATATCTGTTGTACTTTAACAGGACTGTGGGCAGTACTGAAGTCAGTCCAACTACTGAAGGCACTGATTCTACCCTTATATTTGAGGTCCACTTTTCTCAGGGTTGTAAAGATGTCTTTTTTTTTACCTGCATAACATTGCTCGTATCTATCTGTGCCTTTCTCAGTCTAACGCAGAGAAGCTGGTACATGCATGTATTTTCTTATCTTGGCTTGAATATTGACATGCCTTTATTACTGGTGTAATTAAATAATCTATCGCAATATGTCCAAATCTCTGTACCCTAAATTTTATCTAAACCTTGTGACCATATTTCTCCTGTTTTAGCTTTCTTAAACAAGTTTTCTGCAAAATAAGCAACATATTTTTAAGGCCTTAAACAAATTAGCTCCTGATTACATAAGTCTCCAACTAGTTCCTTAAATACCACCATTCTTTCTCCATTCTGTACAGTCAGGTCTAGTTCCTGTGCCCAAGATAGTGAGCTCTGGGAGATGATAAATTCTGCTTCGCTGCTCCTAGGCTATGGAATGTTCTTTCAACTCATGTTAGATCATGCATGACTGTCAGTACTTTATATAAAAGACATGTAATAACATATTTTTCACTCTTGATTTTCCTTCTGTCCAATGTATTTTTTAATTACATGCTGAAAGCGTTTCCATTTTCAAATCTACATTTTACTGTGGAGCACTTTGCCTTGTTCCAACATGAAAGGACTGTAAAAAAAAAAGATTTTTATTACACATAATCTAAACGGTCTGTCCAAGAGCTGTGTTTTGTGTTGACCTTTCCATCCTTCCATCCACAAATCTTAGTACTCGATTCCACATCACGCATCTGATCAAAAGAAATGAAATTCAAGAGCAAAGCTGCAGGTATTCTGACTTATAATACAGCACCACTTCCTCCTTTCCTGCTGAATAAAAAATACAAGTAACCACAGACTCTAAAAATACTACACAGGCGAAACATTTGGTCATTAATTTTAAATTCTCATTGGAACTGGTGTTGTATTTTTGTTTTATACAATAGGGGAACGTACTACAAACAGAAACAACTCGCCTCCAACACTAAGAAACACTCAACGCTCAGATTCTAAATCGGCCACATATAGCACGTAAGGCCACACTTAAATTAAGTTTCTCTCACCGCCACTGTCAGCTCTGTTTCTACCATAAAGGATGATTCCCAATGTATGGGGATGAAAATGACATTATTGAGGCAACTTCTGAGTGGAAGGAAAAAGGAGAGCTGCCGGTAAAGAGGATTACAGAGCCGTGGGTACACTGTTCCCTGTGAGGAGATTATTTTTGAACTTCTCACTTATTGAAAACCCAAGTATCGTTCACAGAAAACCACTGGCCACAGCCCTGCCATGCTGATTTCATACTCTGCTTTCGAATGATTCCATAGTTACTCACTTTCTGTCAGTTCGCCCTGCTTTGCTTCTTTTATCTGGACGGGTTAACTGGAAATGTGTAAATCATTCATTCCAGGACTCTGGGTTTCTCAAAGGGGGAAAGGCAATGTTGCCGTTAACATCTCTAAAAAATTCACATACACAGTGAATTCTGAGAGACATTCATGTTTTGAGGGATTTTTTTTTAAACCTTTATATTCTCACCATGAAAACAACATCTTACAACTGAAATGCTAAATACCCTGGAAAACCTCAGTTCAGATTATATTAAATCTGATATTTTCTTATTTCATTCTACCAAACACTATAAATCTCTTGTGCTTATCATATTTCCTGTATGTGTTTGTAAATACCCAAGGTGGTATTACAAACCTTCTAATGCACAGGGGAATACATCAAATTAAAAATACTAGCTCCCCGCTACATAAGTATTAGACCATTCTATTCTCCTCAGCATTGTGAAACAGCGAGATCTAAGTTATATTTGTTCCCATGACTTATATGCTTGTTTTAACCGATACACAGTAGAAGTCTGCTGTTCATCAGGTTCAGAGTCTCCAGTAGCTCATCTACTGTGTATCTCTGAGGTTGCAGAAAACCGGATGATAGCTTAGGGCTTGTCCTCATGTATACTGTGTTTTAATCCAACAGAGTGAAAGGTTTAAGAGGATCAAAGGGGCTCTTGAGTCCTCACACGGCCAATGTGTTCTTTCAGTTTTTTTTATTCATTCTACAACCACAACCACTGTGAACGCACTATTTTTCTACTATTTCTCCCTAGTGGACCCTGGACTTTTTTGACTCTCATAAGGAACCTCTTTGCACATGTGGTTCTCTCAGTTATCGGTGTTTTTAGTTTTAAAGCCCCTTTCAAAAAAAAAAACCTGAAGAAGAGGCTGAATCTATTTTTCAAGTGAAAACACTATGACTCTGCCACATTTGAAACAAGGCTGGGGCGGCTTTTCACTTCCTGTCACCCAGCCAACGCTGATCACAAATCCCAGAGGTTCAACTCACCTTTCAGTTCCGCACTTTCACCACTTCCATTAACAAACAATGCAAGGTGCTCTTATTTTATCTAAATCAGTCCCAGTCAACATCCGGTTATCCAAATAAAAGTGCCTGATAACCAAAGCATACCACTTTTAACTCATAGAAATTCACCTGAGCTCAGAGTTCATTTATTGGGAGAGTTAAACTGAAATATGCTCTGTTGAGTCCTTATACCCATTTCAGATTACAGCTAGAAATAGATCACTAAATATTTTTTTTAATTAAAAATAATCACAGATATTCCTTGTCAAGGACCAGTAAACTATATATCTGAAGAATATTAGTGTTCATTGTTTCACAGCAACTACAGTGCATACCTCCAAAATTCACTGGAAGAGCCGAAAGGACTTCTCATGTTTATAACCTTTCTTGTGCTCTTGCACAAGAGAATCTTCACGACTAGTTTCACCAGCAAAGCATCACATTGCTCACTCTCCAGCACACTCCACCAGGCATACACAAGCTCAAATTCCCATACTAATCCTCTTGGACTTTAATAATGTGTAATGACCCATTACACTATCGGAAATCTTGAGGTCTGTCTTACCATTCTGCTATAAGGTTTATCATAGCACTCGTCTTTGTGGTCTCTCTTCTCCAATTGCAATGGCCCTCTCTGCATATGAATGTTTTGCTGATTTACGTTAACTTACAGACGTGGAAATGTGGAAACACGTCTCTGCCGTCGTACTACTGCAGTTCTCCAGTCTGTCTGGGAATTTAAGATATAGTGCTTTTATCACACTGAGCAGCTACTGACTGGAACAATCTGCAGTGTGAGCTGAAACCCTCCAGCTTCATAACTCTGGGCATTTTCAGCTGCATGATTAAATCTTTGCTGTCCAAAACTAGCACTCATCAACACTGCCATGTTCCTGTTATTTATATTTTATTGATTGTGCTTTTCTTTGTTTCACTGCTTTGTTTCCTGTGCAGCAGTGGTGAGAGTCTCTTGGCCAGGTCATCACTGTACATGTGATTTTTTTTTTCCCTCGACTGACCCAGATGGTTCAATAATGCATTCATTCTCATTATAATCACAAGCTAGCTTAGAATGGATTTAGGTTTACAGCTGCAGGTTTATTTTTACCATCAGTTAAATGAGAAGAGCACTGTATGAATGCGGCGAGCAATAATTAGTAACATAATAATTCAAAACATTAAAGTAAATTAAAATAAACTTCTGATAAAGTTAATAACAGACAATTATGGCAAAGATATCTTTTTGCTATACAGGGATAAAGAGAATGACTGCAAATTATATTTTAACAGAGCTATGCAGCTAGAAAACAAATACGAGAAATGAAGAAGACTACACATCTAGGAGGTCTCTATCTCTTTGTCTAAAGAATCCCAGGCCAACTGTTACCAACAGGTCATTTCTGGCAAAAGGACATCATGGTTTTCCAAAAGTTGCTCTGTTGTACTTTGGTAAATTTTTAAAAAAATTTTCCAAGCTGTGTGAATAAAGTAATCAGAGTTAGAACATGTATGAGCAAAGCTAGTTCTTTAAAATCTCAATAACAATTCACGCCAAAACAAACTGTTTGCTACCCACTGACAACTTTCACATACAGTACACTTTATTTTCCATGTGACAGAATGCACGCTAAATTTCCTGATGTGGGCGACAGTCCTTTAATTCAACACTACACTGAGACAAGCTTTACATTATGATGCAATGTAATAAAATGTAGTGCATACGTACAGGTTTTGCAGACTGATGTAATGTTGCAGCAGGATCTGGAGTGTTACTGCTGGCTTACGTCACTAGTGGGCAGCACAAGGTACACTCCAGAGAAAAACAAAAACAGTTCCGCATTCCTCATGAGGACATGAGAGGATTCAGCTTCATTTGTCTGCAAGATGATTTTCCTATAAATGGGTCAAGCACTCAATGGAAGTGGTCTAACCTGCTTTTAGAGGTAGACCAGGAAGCCCTGTGGTGAGTCAGTGTTAATAACAAAAAGGGTTCAGTTTCTTGTTGAGACAAATAGAGGATGAGGGTAAGCATATGAATATAACGGGGGCACTAGAATCGCAGGTTCGAGTAGCATCCTTGGCCAAACAGGATCTGCCTGTAAACCAGGCTAGAGTATCAGAACAAATGGAGTCCATTATGGACCATGGCTCAGGTCAGGAAGGTGCAGCTTCCCTATATAAAACAGGGGTTTATGTGCATAGCTCCTCCCCAGCAGGCTGCCAGATTAGGAGCACCTGCCACAACTGAGTTACACTAGACACAGATTCTGTGCCTGATATGTAACAAATAGTCCTCAAACGGCCGGAAAAGGGTTTTAATCAAATCAACATGAATAATGTCCACCAGAACAAATCTTACTGCTAAAAGCAAATATTTTTTAGAGTGAAGATATGCATGCTGGTCATGGAAATATGCTCCATAAGCAGTATTTATATAATATTTAATTGCACATAAGGACAAGCCCACAAGCCTGTTTTTATAAGTTGACAGATTGAAGAAGAACTGCATAATAAAGGCACCAGCAGCTATGTGCACACTGCCATCTCCTGTACACACTGGGTAGTACACAAAAAGGTACACACTGCGGGTTAGAATGATGGAACTCTGTCATTTCTCACTCAGAAATACTGCAATAAATGGCAAACAGAAGGAGCTTGAACTATTAAAGAAAAATACAGACAGTTGCTTTAGTCCTGGAAAACCATTGTGTCACTTCATGTTTTTCCAAAGAACAAAATAGAAAAATGTAAAGTGTGGTAATCTAATAATCAAGCTCAATCCCAGACATGTCCACACTGAGGTTGATTTCTTCCAGCTCCACCGTAAAGTTCTCCAACACATGATGTTTCCACACACTCACGGAGACTTTCATTCTGCTATCTTAATGTTTCACGGGAGGCTGTATGTGCTGATGTGTAAAACCCATCTGATTTTGCTAGTATTCCAGAAAAGGAATAAAACAAAAATATTTTAACAAAAAACTCTACACTTCCATCTTTTTTCGAACAGTCAGATTTTGATTCCCTTCTACGATTTGTCCTCCTGCTTGTGTCGATAACTTTACAACCATTTTGACACATAAATTATAATACATGAAAGGTGAATTTTTTGCAAACTGCATTATTTTCTAATAGCTACTTTTAACCTGAATCTCTAAATGTGAAAACAGCCATTAACCTCCTACCAAGGTCTCTAAATGAAGTTTACTGTTACCTTTCAAATTCATTTTTAAATGTACATTAAAAAGTATTGGATTTTAGACAATGAAAAAAATTAAACAATTACTGTATACAGGAATGTACTACAATGTAGAAATCACTAGATGGTCTGGATTGCCAAAGTAATGCATTGGAAAAAACAGTGACATCTTATGGCCAACAGCAAACACTTACATCAGTAGAAGAAAAAAATCTAATCATAACAGATCACAAATTGTAAACTCTTACCTTTTAGGTCTACAGGGGAAATATCTCCATCACTGAAAGAAAGAGGAAAAAAATATGCAGAAGCTTACTTTGCTGTTCATACTTTAAGAATGTGAAATCCAGTATTGCACACAAGAAGGTTTAGTATTGCTTTAAATTGGGAAAAGTATAAAATATATTCTAAAAAGTCATCTTATTCCTAATATTTTTTCCACCCACAAATGACTTGAGACAAAATGAAGAATTTAGAGGAGTTTGAAATTGTTGGTTAGAAAAACAACATTTTGCTACATTTAGTTGCAGCCATGTTTGCACAAACGTCCTGGAAACTGCTGTACATTAGTTGGCTCACAAGTTGTTGTTTGGGATATTATGTTCTTAAGTCTTTTGTGCTTACAGCGCATATCAAACAACGCATTTCTGTGCAAGTCAAAACAATCTTTCTCTCAGTAGTTGCTTTTATTGCAGTGAAAACCAAGATGTTTCTAGAGTCACCATTAAAAGGTGCTAAATACAGCATTTACAAATTCTGAAGATCTATATTTTTTCCAAAACCAATCGTTACAGCATATGACACTACAGTTTTACTTCCTGAAAATTATGTTTTTAGCACCATAATCCCTGATACTATTGTGTTGTGATGTGTTGGTACAGGTGTACAGACTGATTGGGCTACCCAGTTCACTGAATTAGTTGTGAACTATAGTTCAATCTATTGTTAAAGTGTACAACCCTACACAAGCTATGTGGTGTGGCTTCTCACAACTAATTTTAAGACATAAATCTCTCATTGTACCTACATGAAACTAAATGTACTCAGAATATGAATGAAAAAACTGCTTTGTATAGCATTTTACAATCTGATCAGTATAAGGCCATACTTGAGGACCACAATGCAGCACTATAATGGTTTAAATACAGGTATGCACCTAATTACCATCTTGTGAAATTGCACATTGCCCTTGATTGGCAACACCCAAACAAAACTCCACTTGCTAGGGGTAAATGTAATAAACCTGGGTTTCCATCTACATTGTTCTGTTTTTTTTCAGCCCTTCTTTAACTGGGCCAAACACCAAAGCTTATGACTGTTGATGTATCCAGACAACACCAGCTGTGTGCATTCACCCCCCCATTTGCCTGTAACTCACTTCCTAAGAGAGCAGACATCCTGTTAATTCAATGGGGCTCTCTCACTAAATGACAGGATAACCAAAACAGTCAGGGCTTTGAAGTCAGGAACGGAAAATGTGAAAACACATTAAAACCGCCCCCTCACAACATAAACATCCACTTGCAATGAGGCAAAATCATTTTTGTTTAATAAAAAAAAATAATTTTGCCCATCTCATCAGCTGCATCATTTCATTTTACCAGCTCTGCTCTTGAGAGCATGAAATGGAGGACCAGGTTAGATACGCTCTTCAAATAACACTAGGATATGGGCACAGTATGTGACTGATGCCGCTTACCTACCGTTAGCAGAATTACTAAACATGCTCACTCAGTCCATCAGGATATTCTACCAATGGAACGTGAGAATAAAGAAATCTACTGAAAAAACAAGCCTAAAGTGAATCTCCAAAGGCATGACTAGACACCTCCAGTAGTGGTGAAGAGCCTAAACACTTCTGTGCACAAAGTATATGATAACAAATTGAAATGTTTTTAAAAAACTAAGGTGCCAGACTTTGCAAAAAACAGGATGTATTTCCATATATACGCAGAATGACTGATTTAATACCAAAACAGTGGCCAAAGGTTACAACATCCATTCATTACGAGAAAGTTCCCAACCATTTAGAATGCGACGCCTGGCTAACAGACAACACAATGGTGTTTGCTCTGTGTTATACGTCTAAATACAGAAACTGACAACTTAAGTCATAGCAAGGATCTGAACTAGAGATACCACTAGTTGCTGTCTGCATGAACAGTCTAGATCAAATAAGTACATTTGCATGGGGAAGAAGAAACCGACAGAAATGGTCTTTTACTTCTTTCATGGCCATACCAATAACTGCATGCCTCACTTCACTCTAAAGAAGAAAAGGCTCTTGTTTTCTTTTTCAGCTCTACTTTAACTATGCCTCTTATTCCCAACTGGAATCAGGACACCAGGGTTAAAATTTCCAATTCTATGGCTCAAGTCAGTGCCCATTTCCTCGGGGTGAATTCTGTTTCAATAAAAAATAAGAAATATCAACTCCTTGAGGACACCTCTGGACAGCTCAAGAAGAGCAAGGCAGTGTCAGCACAATCAGGCTTGTCTGAAAACAAAGGCCTCTCACGTACTGACGCTTCCCTGTTCCAATATAAGCTACCTGAAGAAATATTGCAGTCATGCTGTTTTTAAGTGATCAGGCAGCATAGCACACACCCAGTAAAAAGACTAAATACCTTGCAAGGACTAGAAAGCTTACATTCATTTATAGCATTTGATCAGAATTTTATGAAGGTTTTCTGTGTTCTTATACACATTTATTTTGTCTCATCTAAATGTTTCTCTTTCATGGACAAACCTGTCAAACAGGTATTCAGCATACCATTATGTTTTCCAAAGATGGCACACCATCTGTTCCTCCAGTATAATAATACAGTGCAGTGACTCACATTGACAAATCATAGCTTACATGGTATCAGTACTCGGCACTTTCATCTGAAATTAATCCTCTGTATTACTGTTTGGTTATCGTCTATGAATCTGCTGTATTATGTTACAAAAGGCTCATATTGTATTTCTGAGTAATTATTTTAAAAAATATTCTACACATTTTCTATTTACAAAATGCCCTACAGTGTATGATCAACAGTCATGACACAAATCAAGTGTCGGGTTGTAACTTAAAAATAAATTCTTGAGTGAAGAATTTTAAATGATCTATGAAAGTTCAACCTTCTTTTTTGCGGTCTGAATGCAAAGGCACTAAAAGGGATATTCAAAAGTTAATTTTGAACGTTAAATGGAAGGTAACATCAGAGTTCAATTGCTCAACAATTCTCAAGGTTACCCTATTTTACATTAATTTATGCCTTGTCTTTTATACGTAGATCTACTTACTGGATTAAGGGGATGGGCCTTTTAAATCACTTACTAACCTCTAAATAATATAGATAAAACAACATCATAACAAGCAACATTGTAACTTCTATAGTGTTCATATTTTCTTGCATTGCTTGGTTTGTAAACATCCCCATGTTCCATGTATTAGATATTTTTTATTGTGGTCTGTCAGAGAAAAATAAAAGGTTGTTGATAATAGCATATACTCATGTACAACTGCATGATGCTCTATGTATGAATGCAACAATAAATAATACCTTTTCTATTTTACACCTAAAAGTCATGAGATTTTCACTGCGCTTTTTTATTTAGAACTCACAAGTGGCATTTGAGTGCAGAAGCTCCTGGATTCTACCATGAACCGAATTCACTCTTAGAAGGAAGAGAGCAGGAAGTTAGAGTGTCTTAAAGAAAACAGAGACTGTAGGACACCTACTGTACATCATAAACAGTGTCCTTATGATATCTGAGTGGCTAAAAGTAGCTATGTAACACAAAGGAAAGGAGATTTAAGGCTGTTAATTATGTCTCAAGGTGCAAGCTTAAGAAAAAGTTAATAATATATCAGTTTATGGTTTAATTGAACTTGGATAAAGGGACCACTGTTTTGCTCTACTTGGTCCAATGCACAGGTTTTCGCAATATGGTCTAGGTCTGTTGCCAACTAAAAAGCCTGCTGACAGTTGACAATAAAGACACATCCTCCAGAGAGTCAAGACCTAATGCACACAGACGTATTGATTTCTGGAACAGCACATGGGAACTCGGTACAGCTTCCCTCACTAATTCTGACAGTGTTTCTGTGCATGAACAAGCTGCAGAATCTCCCAGGAGGTCAGCAGGCTGTGACATTTATTTAACTGAGAGGAAGGGGCAGTCTACTGTAACAGCAAAAACACAATGTGTTAAAATGCATTCAGCCAACAGAGCCCAGTTGACCAATCGACGAATGAAACGTGTACTTATCACGTCTCTCTACAAATGCTTTTCAGTTTTTCACAATCTCAATTTTATCAGTCACTACCTCCATTTTTAAAACTACAAATCTAGAGATCTAATTATGTTTTGGTAAACACAGTATATAGTAAAATACATAAAGTAGCGAGACTCCTTTTGAACACACATAAAAAAAGGAAACTCTCCAAATCACTGTGCCATTCTCTCTTTTTTGTGATCACACATGAAAAATTAAATTGTAAATCTTCACAAATGAAACATACACCATACTCATACTTCATAAAATACTTCTGATTACATTTTTGTTTCTCATCCAGTCTCAGTGTTATTTCCCCTTAAAGCAATTTATTTCAGAATCTACTAGAATTCAATTAAAACCGTGCAATCCATTAGGCGGACCTCATTTCCGAATATTAAAGAACATCATTCAGTTGTGTATATGTAATTAAAAACGTGTCTGGGTCTTTAGAAATGGTTCAAACTTAAGTGTGGAGTGAATCTGAAACAAACTACCTATCCACGAAATTAAAGTGGATACTGAAACAATCGGTAAATGACATCTCACTTACCTCAATTAGTTATACTGTATTCAGCTGCCAGATCAAATATACAGAATGCTGAGTGTACTGGGAGTGATATTAAGTTACACACATCTTACATCAGCGGTGCTGGTGGACCACTGATTCCCATGATATATTCTACAGCAGACCTGGATGCAGTCTGTGCTCTTTGCTGCCTGGAAATCCCATTAATAATTCATTCTGAGAATTGATCAGGCTGGTCAAATTGCTCGAATCAAAAACCTCTCTTTTCCTTTCTGTGAAATCTGTTAGTGTTCAGAAGACCTCCAGCTTTTTCTTTCGAATGTTTTGTCCTTTGCCACCCAAGATAAAAGTTTCACAGTCATCGGCTCTCAGAAAAGTACAGGTCACATGAAAGGGAAGGACTGCAAGTCATTGTCCACTCACAGGTGTACTTGGGTCAATAATTTAAAAAGGGCAAAATGCTTGCCCTGCAAGCTGTAATAGCGTACTACACATGAAACTAAAAATTAAACTGCTTTTCAGCTTTGGTTAATGAATCTGGACACTCTCATTCCAACTCCTGGAGAACAGTACCACTAATACTGCACAAAATACTACATTAAGTGACAGTTGCAGGAGATGGAACAAGTAAAGGTTTATTCCAAGCTGAAAGAGGAAGAAAAGAAACAACATTTCAGCTGCAGAACCTTCTTCTTTACTTGTTCCTTTGCAGCCTACACATGCTGACGCAGCTCCCTACTTGAACTACAGCTGCAGGAGATGTAGAAGTTAACACAAAGTCCCCCCCTGGACTTTTTCATAATTAGCCGTGTTGCAATTTGGAATCACAATGTATTTATTTGGGAGTTTTTGTTATTGATCAACACAAAACACACAAAATAATGTCAAAGTGAAAAACAAAATCTACAGATCTTCCTAAATTAATAAATATAAAACAGAGAATAAGTGATTGTGTAAGTATTTACCCCCTTTACTATGACAAACCCTATACAAGCATTGGCGTAACCAATTGTCTTTAGAAGTTACAGTTTGTTTAATGAAGTCCACCTGTGTGGAATTTAGGGTTTTTCACAAGTGTTCAGAATAAATACACCTACAGTACATGCATCTCCTGGAGGTCACACAGTTGATTAGTACAGCTCATGAAGACATGGAACTTTCAAAGTAAATCTCGGACAGGGTTATTGAAAAGCACCAATCAGGGGAAGGGTATAAGAACATTTCCAAGGCCTTACATTTCCCCCAAAGCACAATGAAATCTATTATAAAGAAATCTAGAAAATGTGGCACAAACGCCAAACTGTGAAGAACAGGGTGTCCAAACAGGAAGAGCACCAGGAGTCCAGTTACAAGTCTAAAGGAATGACACTCTTCCATGGCTGACATGAGAGAAACTGACAATTCCCTTGGCGCCTCACAAATTTGTGCTTCATGGGAGGGTGGCAAAAACTCACATCAAATTTCGACCTACACTTTGCAAGAGGGCACATGGGAGACTCTGAGACCAAGTGGAATAGGACTGTAGGGTCTGGCTAGACCAGATTTGACAATTTGGGCCTCAACGGTTAGCGTGTGGCCAAGTGTAACAGAGAACCCCATCCCTACTGAGAAGCATGGTGGTGGCAGTATCATGCCAAGGCCTGGAAGACTTGTGAAGACAGAAGGAAAAGTGGATGCAGTGAAGTGCAGAGAATTCCTGGAGGAAAACCTGCTACAGTCTGCAAGACACATGGGGCTTGGGAGAAGATTCAATTTCCAGCAGTGGTTTAAAAAGTATTAAAAAAAAGCCAATATTCTGGAATTCTCCCTTCAAATATATATTTATATTTTAGATTTATAATTAAATTAGGGGGATCTGTAGAACTTTGCTTTCACTTAGACATTATAGATCGTTTTTTGTCAATCAATGGCATAAACTCCCAATTAAAAACACTATGATTCCCATACTATAACTCAATACAATATTTAAAATATCCAAGGGTAGTGAAGATTTTTATACTAATTGTACCTCTGTAATATAAGGTGTGACTCACGGGAGATCTGAAAAAAGCACGGCAGTAGAGTACAGTTTCCTCCTCTATTCTAGTGATTAGTGATTCATTTAATTCTTTTGATTGCTCAGGGGCATATTACCTGCATTTTCACACCAAAACAGAGTGGCACTGGGAAGGAATGTATTTACAAGAATAACTAAATAGCATAGTTCCCAGTATAACTTCTAAAAATGGAGCGAATTATCAGTTCTGAAGGAAACCTTCTAAAACACAAATGTTACAAAAAGTGCAAAAATAATTGTCATTTGATCTGGAAGCTTTCACTCATGTTTTTTTTTTCTTTATTTTTTTGTTATTTTTCTAGCTTTCACTTGCTTAACATTATTCGTTTTGATGAAGACACTTCTTAAAGCTGTGAACTGCTTCACTGCACTGGGAAATGCAAGATAAGAAGTTGAACTCACACAACATTACGCAGCACTAACGTACCAAGCTATCGTGCTTTCAGAAGTACTTTCGATATTCTTCACAACAGTACCGAGATATTCAGTACTAAATCTACATTAGCAAAATACTAATATCGAGGAAGAGGAAAATGTAAGGGCAAACAAAAAACATCACCAGGAGGAGCTCAAGACATTCATTCCATTTACTCATTATCAATGTTTGTGGAATAAGCCATCTCAACTTTCCTAAAACTTGGCACATTTATCCTGTGAGGATGGATCAGAGGCAAATGTTCACATTAATACTGCACGCTTTTCCAGCTGTTCTCATCGTTTTTGTACCTGCCCAGGCTTTCTCAAAGGACACAAAGATATTAAAGAGATATCAAGATTAAATTCTGCCTCCACTTTTTCCTCCACTGGCCAAACGCATCCAACAAAAATCACCTAAACTTGAGGGGGTCGTGCCCAAATCGGGTCATGTTCACAGGGAATGACCCTGCTTCATCACAAGGAGTGGGGAGTGGTAATCTGGGAAGCCCCAGTAATCAGGGGAGCAGGGCTGTGAAGCTGGGAAGAAACTGGAGCACACATAAGCAGGTGCACCAGCCCAAAGTCTAACCCAGGACCCGATGACAGTGAAGCACCAGCAATAACTACCATGCCCACCAATCTCTCTCGTTTCTGACCCAGGGTTATCAATCAATCAAGGTTTATTTATCAAATGCACAACAACACAGTATACAGCAGTGCTTGCCGGCAATGAAACGCTTTTTCCGCAAGCTTTCAAGGAGAGATGGGACAGAAGTTGACAGAATTAAGGTTACAGAGTAGAATACGATCAATTATACAATTGACAAGATTTACGCAATGAATAACATAAGGAGATACGGTAGGGATAGGAGGTGTCAGGGAAAGGGAAAAAAACACAGGTGCACCTTATCAGTTTCAAGTGGACTATCAGTTGTCGTTTGGGTAAATGCTGGTGGCTGCCGTCGTTAGCTGTTTAGCAGGGTTACAACTCACATACAAAATTCATTATATATAATGTTGGCTGTTTTGAAAACTAATTCATCACACAAATATCAAGACAAATGTTTTTCCCCAAACATTATCGGCTATTACCTGAATAAGGCCTACAGATGTATTGCAGCATTATCAATTCCTAATTATAAGTTCAGAGAACGACTTCCTTAGTGACTGGAATAATACCTACAGAACAAGACTTTACCGGGCTTGCGCTGGGCGCTGTACTTTAGAAAACTTCCTGTCTGCTGTCAATCGTTAACACATAATAGGGACTATTAATGCAACAAAACCCAACCGATAAAAACAACTGCCTTTTGCTAGATCAGTAAAACATTTTTTTATTTCACTGTTAGGCAGACCAACGACTGAGTACAACATAAAGAAGAGCTACTGAGACAGCACTCTTGCAGCACTACAGATGCAATGAGAGCACCGTTCTGTCCACTACAAACCGTCTTCCTCAGCATCAGGAAAATGCAATACTGCGACTACAAGTACCAAATTTACACGTGATCATAGGCAAACTGCTTAATCATGCCTTCCTTGTATACCCTCAGAACGGGAAAAGTGCAAGTATTAGGTTCTTCCCCAGCTCATAAAGGAAATTATATTCTAATTGTCTTTTATTGTGTGATGTCACTCAGAGCGTGAAAACAAAAGATAATGGCGCCTGTTCTAGCTTTCAATTGAGTCTGTAGAGCACAATTAGCTGAGCCTATAGTAGAGCAAACCATGAGCGGACGTCACGATAAAACAAGATTAATATCCTACATGTGAAATTACTAGTTAGATCTATTAGTTAGATCACATCTGAAGTGGTACAAGCTTTTCTCCGACCACAAAGCATCCCTCCACCTCTCCCCGGGATAGCGTATTCGGTACGATAGGCATGGTCTTTTGACACAATATCGAGAACAGTTCAAGCTTTTAAAAAATTGTGCTGTGTGAGGACTTACCTTTCTTCAACGTGATTGTTATTCTCAAGGCTAGCCATATCGGCCACCATTTTCCGAGCAGTTTTCACTCACTAGTTTATATGTACATATATCGTTTTTTTTTCTGACGTCTGTTTTGCATGTGAAGTTTGCAACAACAACAGTCGAGACAGCCTCAGCCTCTCGCAAAGCAAAGCAGCACACCTGCTGCAGGCACTGCCGACGACGTCACTGAACAACTCGCAAAACCAGCTACAAAATAACCCCTCTGCACGGGGAGGTTACACCGCTTGTCAAAAAAAAAACGATTTGGGGGTACGTTACGTTCATATGAACAGATCCCCTTTGCAGTTACACGTACAATGCATGCTTTCAAACTCGAGACTTTCGATAGCGGTAAGAGATGCCTGAAGTTGCCCTTTTTTGTTTCGATTACCAGAAAAAAAGTGCAAGGCCTAAAACGATTTTTCCCGTTTGGGGAAAAAAAAAACAAGCTATTGGATACAAACGGGAAACATAAAAAAACATCAACAAACACCCTTATCATATTTCACGCTAACGCATTTAGAGCCATTCCCTTGTAGGAGGGAGATGAAGTCCCGCTTTCTGGGTTTGGCCAATCACAGCTCTGCCTCTTGCAAATGCTTTCATTGTACCAGGCAAGACTCAACTTCCCCCTTTATTTAAAGAGAGTAACATCATAGAATACAAAAAAACGAACTTTGCATCAGCTTCCGCTTGTTGCAGCTCACATTCTCACTGAGTTTAGCAATATAAAGTGACTGCACATTAAACCTTGTATTGAGATCTTTAATCTCGGTTTGGTCCTGGTACTGTCAATTTGACACAAGTTGTGTTTGTCAGACGGTTCTAAGGCACGGACGCACATGATGTATTTCGGTCGTCCGTTTGACTCCATGCTCTGGCTTGAAGTATCGTGCAATTTGCAGATATCGCATTACCCCTTTTGGGGTTTATTGTCATTATTTTCCAGGCACTCCGTATTATTTGTTAAGTTGTGTGTAAAATTTGCTTTTAGCATTTGGAACATCATGGGAGGCTCATTGCTTAGGGTCTGAGGGCTGACGTCTGAGCCATCGTTTCCTAAAAAAGCGGAAATGTCTGCCCGCCACAAGTTGTCATTTTGTGCAGGCTGGACGAGACAACGTTGCATGAACACGTACAGAAGTAGTTTTATATGCTAACTGAATGACAACAGTAATATGAAGGTTGTGTCTGCACAACGTACTGGTATTATCTTCCAAAACGGAAGACATGCCTTGATATTGTGTGCGTAGCTCACCCGTACGTACCCTACACACACGCACCCTCTGTAACAGAGATCTTTTAGTATTATAGTGTTCCGTGATTATTATGCTGATATTCCCATTACAGTAACACGATAATGCATTTTGAATCATTACACAAGTCCTGTATGGTCTCTTCCTCTTTTGGTACACTTAGGATAAACAGATTACCGTGTTTACAATAATATATCCCCACAGAGCTCTGAAGACCAACAAGCATCAGGAAATAAACACCCTTTTGCTATTGTTTGTTGTTATGTCGAGCCTTTCTGTTTTTGCCCACGTATACGATTATTTCAAAACATTTCCAAGCATGCTTTGTCAACTGCAGACCATGTTTTCCCAAACGTGTAGTCTTACAAGCACGTTACAGTTTTGCAGTGTTATTAATATTTCTCACCGGGCTGGATGTACTGTACCTTACATGTGACAATGACTTGTGTGCTGTTTGTACCCTCTGTCAGTTAATTGCACGTCTATCTATCGTGTAACATGCGCCGGGTTTCTAACCCACCATTTTATCATCACGTGGAATGATATAATGTAGTTACAGAACAACATAGTGGTTCATTTTTATTAGTAGAAATAACACGTATTTTTATAATTGGGCATTTTAAGAGTTTAACTGAGGCGTGCAACTGACAACTTTGAAACTGAAGTCATTCGATTACAATACAGTTTTCTTATATTATTCATCTACATTGGGCCCCTACGGTGACAATAACGCATGCTAAGTTATGTATAAGTTACGTCTTTGTAATTACAACTCCCGACAGTACTTCATGACTGCCATTGCACGGAATTCACACGCACCTTAACGTTAGCATTCCAAGAAGGTAGCTGCGTCAGCATGCGTAGGTCGCAAAGGAACGAGTAAAGGTTGATTCCCTCGCTGAAAAGAGAAGAAAAGAAACACAACGTTTCGGATGTGGAGCCTTCTTGGGGTGTAAAAGTTTTTCTTCTCTTTTCAGCATGGAATAAACCTTTACTTGTTCCTTAATAATAGCATGTTTGACTAGGTGGCGCTATCAGGTGGGATGAGGGCTATGCTCGGTTACCTGCGCACCTCTTTGTCACTCATTTCGTTTTTGTCGTCTTTTTTAATTCGCAGCTGCTCCTGTCCGCTGCTATTTTAACAGGCTGCGCGGCTAAGCATGGTTTTGTCCTGAGGAGGCTTCACGTGTTGAGCCTGTGCTGCTGCGTACGTGAAGATACTAAACTTGGCCGAATTAGCTGCAGGATCCTGTTCAGACGCAGCACAGGTTTCATTAGTCTCGAGACTGCAGCATTTGTGTGAAAATTACAAAAGGGCTTAGAGCGTCTCTACGAAGAAAATAATACATATGAATTGGCATTAAATTCTACACTTGCCGTCGCATTATTTCGGCATCTGTTTTATTGAATGTTGTGGAAAGCTGAGATCTGCGTTTATATAGCTTCAGTGCATGGTCATTCTAAGCCTATTTACTCCAATCTAAAAACGCATGGACAAGCAGAGGTTTAAATACAGAACCCAGGGACTGGCAGTTGTAGTAGAAGCAGCACATTACATTAGATAAAGCATCGAGACTGTGCGAACACCTGGCAGATAACGTGTAAATGTAGACAACACGGTATTGTATGCATGTGGCAATTCAGAACCTTTCGTTCCTCGTGGATTTTTTATATTACTATGAAGTCTTACAGTTTAATAAAATCTTCATCATGTAATTCAGATTTAGGATGGTTTAAGATGTGGAATTGTGATGACCTAAATTTTTTCTATATGTCATAACTCGATGTTTAGTTCAGAAAACACATGAGCTCAGTTGTCTATACCTGTGCCAGGGTGTAATTATTTAAGAGGTCCACAATTTTCTCCATTTAAAGCACTAATACCTCCTGGTGTTTGGGCAGCAGACAAGTGGGTGCTGGTAAATCGCTTTCTTGTTAGATCTGTGTTCAAAAGTAAGAACTAAGCAAGAAATTCCAGAAAAGGCACAAACAGCACCTTTAAGAAACACGGAACCCTGTGAGAGAAACGGTTCTAATCAGTACAGGGGGCTGATTTTCACATGATTTTTCCAAACCCCTCTTATCTGTGTTATTCAGAGTGATGGTGTGGGGCAGATAAATACCCTCCTGCTGTGTGAGCACAGTAAGCAGCTGGCCAGAGATTACAGAGGGCTGCTGCAGGGGCTTGGCATTGCACTGGGCAACTGCAGCAGCTCCAAAAGGTAGTTTTCTTCTCTCACTCAGAGACACTGTGCTCTTAAAGGGAAAACGTCTTTGATTCTCAAACATTTTGACATTTACCTTTATCTGTACTAATGACCGGTATTGGGACAGTGTATAAAAAATACCAGGTGCTTTTACATCATGGTTTTGGAACAGCCAATTGAAATTCAACCTGCCTAAGTGCTGTAGTTCTATATGTCCTTGGCTTTATCTTGCAGCTTTCATGTTATATGATCTGTCCTGCACTCCTAGTGGTGGTTTTTACTAGCTGGCTTTCTGGCGCTGAGGCTCTGCTCAAATAAAAAGATTACGAAAATAGATGCTTGGAGTGCTGCTAATTTCAAACAAGGAGAGAATTGCTGGATTTCATAAGACTCATTTTTTAAATTCTCATGAAATATATTATTTAAAACTAACTCGTATCTACTTTTTGTAAAAAAAAAACAGCTCATTCGTGACAGTGGGGTTAACCAAGCACTCATTCTTCATTCTGCAATAGCATCTGTCCAGAACTATGGAGATACGGAGGACCGCACAGCTGTAATTTCTCTCGGTTTTCACAGAGATAGACTGACTTGATTTATTGCCCATCCATCTCAACAGCACATACAAGATTTCCGCAATGTCGGTCACAGCTGTAATCCTAGGATTTGGTAGTCATGAGATTTTGAGGGGGAGAGAGAAGGACTAACCTTTATATCAGAACCAACACTTGAGGAAACTTGGATTTCTTCTCCGAGGCCCATGTGAGCCCGCTTGTGTCCCGTTCCTGAGTGACTCCAGTGGTGCTGTGTGGGACATGAGCGTCAGGGACCCACTGGTGGGCTGCTGTGTGGAGAGGATGAGAACAAAATAAGATCACTTTATTGGCCATATACAATTTCTTCCATTAAGAGTTTGTCTTTTCGCATACCCCAGCTTGCTCTCCATGAGACACACAGACAGGTAGAGAGAAACCTGGGGTCAGAGCACAGGGTCTGCCATTTATACAGCCCCCTAGAGCAGCTGGGGTTAAGGGCCTTGCTCAGGGGCCCAACAGAGTAGGATTCCTCTGCCCGCCGGGGGATTTTAACTGGCAACTCTCCAGCCACAGAGCCACCAGGGGCTGGTCGACTGTGGAGACCTGTGGGAGGTGGGCCAATTTATTTGGGCCGGATTCATCTGCAGTGCTCTTTGTCACTAGACAAGGCTGTGGTGCTAAAACCCCTTTTTTTAATGTCAGGTTCTTTAAGGCCTAAAATTGATAGAACATGTCAGTTACTGCAAAACTATCAGCCTGTTTACAATTGACTGGTGTCTTCTCGACCAATCTTACCAATCTTCTCGATGGACATTGAACAGCATTTTTATAGGTCAACAAACTGTAACAAACAAATTCTGGAATATTTTCCTATTGCTTTTCTACTTCTCTTGCCAATGGCACCCCATGTTCCTGAAAAAAAAAAATATTATTTTGCTGTGATGGGTGTTAACAGTACCTTAATATTGGTATTCCAGATTAAACCAGGCCCTGAAGGTTTAAATGAACAGAAGATTTAACAAGAGTGATAGTTTTTAATGTACCAACGAGCAATCAGAAGATCCCACCCAGGAAGTTTGTAAACTCTTGCCAGTTAAGATGTGTGGTGTCAAGATTAGTACATTTGGCATGTCAGCAACAACAAGCACGTGACTGAAAATGGGAGATTAAGAAATTCAGCAATAAAATGAGACTTAGAAATGAATAAATATTGTTTCATGGAGCTGATTTCTTGTGGTTGTGGTTTCTTGTTGTATCATTGTAGTTTTTTAGCAATGATGCTTGTAATAGTACTTCTCTGTTGTTTTAATGATGTGTAAAATGTACGTTCTGTTTCTTTCACAGGCATGTAAACTAAAGTGTGCTGTGATTTCTTTTTCTTGCATGATTGTAAATATAATTAACATACATACTGTGTATATGCTTATGTGATAAACATTTGAAGTAACAAACAGGAGAATCTTAATATCAGTTCTAAATTTGAGTGATTTACCCAGTGCAAATTATACAGGACAGGAGTTTGCTTTACAATTGCTCACAACATGTTAAA